TGGTTTAGCCGTAGCCAATTGGCTTTGGGACTCCAAAAATCTTGCGAGAGTTCCTCACTCACGGAGATCCACCTAGGCCATGATATATTGAATGCTTCAGTTCAAGTTTGTTTTCACTCTTGAAATAATTTCCATTCATCTTCTCTGTTGAACGCTTAGTTATCTGGCTTTAGCCATTGTGCTCTTGTCTTTTCTTTTTGTGTGCGTGTGTGGCACCATAACCCCTGACATTTGGTTGTGTTCAGTCCATGTCTATTTTAATATTTCTTGCTTTTATACATTCGTTCTTTAGACTAAAGTTATTTTTTTAGAGTGTGGTACTTCTATTGTTGATGTTTATGTTGGAGAAAACATTCAATTTTTTCCTTTCATGACTACTTGCTTAATTAGAAAGTTCACTTCGTTGTTCAATTGAGTTTTAATTGATACTCTCGCCCGTATAATAAACTTGTATTAATCTCGGATTTGTTTTTCGTTTTGGCTTGAAACCCTCTGACTCGCGTGGAGTTTCTGATCATCCGTATAATAACTTGTAATTACATATGGAGTATGTCTTCTGAAAGTTTAACGAAATATGTTAACGAGGGAAAGAGAAGGGTTTCAAACACGTTAGTAATTTAAAATTTTGAACTTTACACATCAATCAAAAATTTAGTTTGGTACTTTGTTTCCTTTTAAATCGAGTCAATCGTAATTCGTATCTAAACAAAATCAAATATTTAAGAACATGATTGACACAAATCCAAACAAAATATCCATCCACACAATTATGTGTATCCGATATATTCTTTTCTAAAATTTGGAAAAACCTCTCTAATTGATCAAAGTTTGATCACCAGACTTTAATTGAAAGCCAAAAACAAAACAAAAAAAACGATTAAACTATGAAAGAGGATCGAAAAGATCATAGTAATTTGTTGTTGTTAGAACTCAACATTGTCTTGAACTCTTCAAAGCTCACAGAACCATCGCCGTCTGCATCAACGGCTCGAACCATGGCGACACATTCCTCCATCGAACGTTTCTCTCCAAGACGCTTCAAGACCACGTGAATCTCACTCGCTGAAATCTTGCCGTCACCATCAATATCATACAGATCAAAAGCTTTTTTCAAAACAGCCTCTTCGTCGTCCTTTTCTCCGTCGCCGGTAACCAAGCAGCTCGCAAACTCTTTGATGTCGATTTGACCGTCACCGTCGACGTCAAGCACTCTGAACATCTTGTCGATTTCTTCCGACGCCATTGAAGGAGAGAAAGCACGAATCCCCTCGGCGAATTCGTCCCATGAGATTTTCCCATCTTTGTTTTTGTCGATTCTTTCAAATATCTCTGCAACAGACATTGTTGTTTTTGAGCGATGATGTAGATACTCTCAAAGTCTATCAAACAAAATATTATGTGTGAAGATCGAAAACCTATATCCCGTATTTATAGAAGAAGATTGTTTTGGATTCCTACAAAAACTCGTATTTCGATTACTGAATCTTTTGGAAAAAGGATAATTTCCTTTTCTTTAAATCCGATAAACAACAATCAATCAAAAGATCCCGGTTACAAATAATGAACCGATTTGGGGGGAATTATAAAAATAAATTGATGAACCGATTCGGTTATTGTAAACCGAGTCGAGAGACTCGTTGGTTTGTGACCGAATAACCTAATTAACCACCCTTATATAAGCCCTAGAAAAATCAATTGTTCGTGTTTTTGGCCTCTCGCTTTATCGCCGCTGATCTTTCTGCCTTCTCCGTTAGCCCGTCGTCGTCTACAGGTTTCTTTCACCGTTTACAATCTTACGTATTTATCTGGAATCGACTGCAATCTCTTGTAGATGTTTAGGCTAAATCGTCTTCTCTGTGTTTTCTCGAATCTGTGATTAGGATTCTGCTCTGTTTGTTAGATAATTGCATCCCTTAGTTTCGCTTCTGATAAAGTTGATTGCTTTAGAGAAAACAAAATAAAAAATAAGCCTCTCTATGTGATGATTACTCTGCTGATTTTTTAGTATGGATTCAATTGGTATCGTATATGAAATCTGAAGTAATTGGTCTTTGAATTTTCGTGATTGTTGTCAACCAGAATGGATTCTCAGATTAAGCACGCCGTGGTGGTGAAGGTCATGGGACGCACAGGATCCAGGGGTCAGGTGACTCAGGTTCGAGTCAAGTTCACAGACTCTGATCGTTTTATTATGCGCAATGTTAAAGGACCAGTCAGAGAAGGCGATATCCTCACCTTGCTCGAGTCCGAGAGAGAAGCTAGGAGACTTCGTTGATTCTTTCCTCAACCGCAAGTGGGGAAACAGAACGATGTCTTTGGTTATGTCTCTGTTAGTGGTTGTTTTGTTGATGCTTTAAGACAGTTGCTGGATTGATAATTGTTCTGGTTTTCTTTTTGGTACTCTATATCATCAAGACTTATTTCATCTTCTCTTTAGGGTTTTTGAGATCTTTACAGTCTCCTCTGTTTGTCTGAAAACTCTTTATCATCATGACTCGTACCTCTCATCAAGAAATTGCTCTAAATTCTCAATCTGGTTCAACCTAAACCAACAATTACAACTTCAGTTTTTGGTTAAACCATTCCTTAGTTTTTGGGTTTCTTGTCTTGTTGAGCATTAAATGTGAGATTTCCTAAAAGCTATTTTGTTCATTTCCATATGATCGCCGAAAGCCAACGGCAGAAAACTTTTGACGGAGTTAATAGCTAGAGAGCCTGTAGATTGAGAAGATTGCAGTTGGTGGTTCCTGCTATTTTGGTCTTGACTCAATTCTATTTTGGTTGCTGCTACATCTTTTGAATTAAGCTTCCTAAGCTAATTGATACTTGTCTAATTGATGTTTCAATTACACAATGTGAGTGAATTCTCAATCAAGAAATGCTTCTATACAAAATGTGTAAGTTATTGTTTACAATCTCCACTAAAAAACTCGTCCATACATTTATATTACGTAAATTCCTTTTGTTTTCAGTACTGCTCTACAGATTTTGTGAATTCCCTAAGACTTGATGTTTCGTGTTATTATTAACATAGATATACGCCTTTGAACAACCTGTTTCTTTTTATTGTTTTGGGAACTTTTAAGGTTTAAGAGTTACATAGTACTCGCACGTTACAATCATACAATACAATTTCCAATTTTAAGAATCATTTCTTCACGTAAACTCTTGGTTTTACTGATTTCGATAAATAAGTATTGCATCGATGTTTCTTTTGTTTCTTTATAAAGAACACAACGTTGTCGTTCCACGACCGAGGAAGACGAGTCCCAAATCTGCTAGCGATATTTTACTTAAAATCTAAAATTATTTGGTTCATTACCTTCATTATACTATATTAAAAATATGTTTTTTAGAAGTTAGCAACTAATTAACATGTTTTTTTAGATTAGGTTCATTTTCAATGCAAAAGGACAAAAAGTCACATCTTACGACAGTGAAATGACCTTCGGGCAATAATTTTATCCGTAGTTGTAATAGAATCAAGTACGATGAGAATGTTACTATAACAATTTCTTAATCTTGGCCAATCAAATGTTTTAGTGGTATTGTTTTTGAAATCATGGACCGATGATGAGTAAAAAATGCTCTTAGCGAGATATCTAGCTAGGACTTTTGTCGAATTTTAGACTTTGATGGTTTTGGTTCTTGATGTCACAAAAATTTATAGGATTCTATAAATCAATGGACTCTATTATTGACCGATGTATCGATTCTATTGATAAACGGAGAAATCTATATACCAACAAACACCTCAACAGATTAATTTAGTACCAGTAGCCACTTTTAAAGAAAAAATTATTGACTGGTGATGTATCGACCAACAAACACCTCAATGCAGCCACTTTTAAGTCTCTGTATAGAAATCTAAAAATAAACTATATGGAATCTCTATATGTAGATAGGTAGATGCTCACTCAACTTGTGAAAAAGGACAATTATTGGGAAAAAGGGGATCAAATTCGTACTTTCAAAAGCAATTTTATCTTTTTTTTTTTTGTATCATGCACTAAGAGAGTGAGTTAAATTTTGGCGTCTAGACATTGTATCACCCATTTTCAGTATTATGTCATAATATGATAATTAAGACATAAATAAAACAAGTCATATCAGTTAATCTATAATACTCTTTTCGTTCTACTGTAAATTATATCATATTAGTCAATTCAATTAGTTTTTTTCATTATTCCTACACTTTTACAAACTATAATTTCTTTTAATTATATAAAAGTTTTGAGAGACACACACAAATGAGAGATAAATATCAATTCGAATTATTTATAATCTATATCATTTTTCATTTTAAAATTTAGAAGGCTAAACTACATAAAATATAAAGTACTAAAATCTATAATTACCTTTTGATTTGAATTATTTGATGTTAATTCAAACTAAAATACACAGCTAACAAATATGATTGTCATGTGTAGGAATACGTGTGATTTGTAGAACTATTTAAAGAAAAAAATTACATATGTTAAAAAAAAACTCAAAACATATATTTTTTAGAAATATAGAGAATATGAAAGTGTTGAAATACTGTATAGATATTACCTTTAAATTTGAATTATTTGATGTTAATTAAAACTAAAACACAGTTAACAAATATGATTGTCACGTGTAAGAAGAGTACGCATGATATTTAGAACTATTTAAAGAAAAAAATATTTTTTTAAAAAGTTATATGTGTGAAAAAAATTCAAAACATATATTATTTATATATGATGGTTACGTGTACGAATATGTGTGATATTTAAAATCATTTAAAGAAAAATATCTTAAATTTGAAAAAAAAAGCTAATAATTCTTAAAACATTAAAAAAATAAGATATGTAGCTAATGTATAATTGGGAATAGATGTGTATTGGTTCTTTAGATTTGTCCAAATCTTACAACCACGAGAGAGCTTGGCCCCTAACATCTATCTCTATCTCTCTCTCTCCAAGTTGGTAAAGCCCTATAAATACATGTCTTGGTCAGTCTTTGGTATCCCACACCACTACAAATCTCTCTCTTTCCTAAGCTTACTAAACCCATAGTTAGAAAGAGAAAATAAACTTTAACAAAATAAAAGATGGAGAATGTGGGAAGTAGAGTGATAGAGCCACTAATAGTGGGAAGAGTGGTAGGAGATGTTCTTGATTTCTTCACTCCAACAATTAAAATGAGTGTGAGTTACAGCAAGAAGCAAGTCTCCAACGGCCACGAGCTTTTCCCTTCCTCTGTATCCTCCAAGCCTAGGGTTGAGATCCATGGTGGTGATCTTAGATCCTTCTTCACCTTGGTATATACATATATTAAATTTATTTTAAAGTCAATAATGTTGGGCGTGCTAGTTGTGTAGTCGTCCTTGTATATTGTCCCAAAACATATAGAGAGTCTCACGTTATATTCAGCTTAGAAATTTCCCATTTTCTGACTCCATGGAGAAAAAGAGAGGGACTGATCAATAATCTTTATAAATTATGCTTTTTTGGTAATTAATAAGATACTATGATATAGTTTTCTTTATCGTTTTTTTTTTTTTACATTTTCTATTGATGGTAAACTCAACTGAAATGCAAAACAGGTGATGACAGACCCTGATGTTCCAGGTCCTAGTGACCCCTTTCAAAAAGAACACCTGCATTGGTACGTTCATTTTATTTATTTGTCGTTTCATTTTGGGCCCATATCCCATTTTTTTTTTAATTACCAATGAAGTTTCTATCTAACTTTTGTCTCTATAAAATTTGAGGTGGTCAGAATCTCTTCAGGATTTTCCTAAATTTTTCATATAATTTTTTTTTATAATAACAATCGCATTTAAATGTTTTAACAGGATCGTCACTAACATCCCCGGTACAACAGACGCTACATTTGGTACGGGCTTGTCATCAGTTTTTTTGTACTTTAAAATACTTTCAGTAAAATATATTTTCTGATATTAATAAAATATATGAATCGAAATAATAGGAAAAGAGGTGGTGAGCTATGAGTTGCCAAAGCCAAGCATAGGGATACACAGGTTCGTGTTTGTTCTGTTCAAGCAGAAGCAAAGACGTGCTGTCTTCCCAAATATCCCTTCGAGAGATCACTTCAACACTCGTAAATTTGCGATCGAGCATGATCTTGGTCTCCCTGTCGCAGCTGTCTTCTTTAACGCCCAGAGAGAAACCGCAGCTCGCAGACGTTAAATTACATTATTTTCCATCAAATGCAAAAACAACAAAAAAGTAATAACATAAGGATGAAAGAATGTAAGAAAAAAAAATGTAACCATGTTTATTTCTGTTCTAAATTTCCGTACTTTGAATAAAGACTGACAGAGATTAGTTGAACCGAAAAAAAAAACAAAAAATCCAAACTTTAATAAGTTAATACATCACATATAAAGATTGTGGTTTGATAAACATTTTTTTTATTTGTCAGCACCTACATAACCTATATCATCTTAATTATCTTTCATTAAACAAACCAAATTATCATTTTTTATGTTCAAACAATATACTCGATATATCCATTGATTTTTCTTTCAATAGTACTAAATTGAAGAGTTAATGAGAATCACAGTCTCGGATTAAGATTCCAATAAACTACGTTATCAGAATACTTACCGATAGACTAAATAATAAAAGAAGTATATATAGTTGTACCACTATATGCACAGTATAACTCCAAAGTGATTAATCAAAACTAAGCTGTTGAAGTATATATATACTAAATCCTTATGATAGGTCATCTAGGGAACCTTACTATACTATATCATATGATATATGATAAACGTGGAAACAGGAGGAATTTTTTTTTGAAACGGACGATTTTTTTTTAGTTTTGGTCAAACTGACAAGACCTTGATGGACCACCTACAATACGACGCTCCTCTCACTCGACGATCCGAATAATATCTTCGTGTCTATTTTTCTCATATGGTCAGTGTTTTGTTGTGTTGCTGCTAGTGCTAGTTCACGAAAATTATGATTCTTTAGTTTAGAATGAACTATATATAGTGAATAAATCGAAAGCTCAACTACAATAGTTCTTCTTTCAATATCGTAAACTTAAAATTCATTGGGTATACATATATATATATATATATATATATCCTAATTAAACCAACGCTGTATAAGAAATTAACTTTGATCAACTGATGAAATCTAATAGCAAGACGGTCACAACACTATTACAAAATCTTAATCATAGAAGTGCTTATATATTCGTATATAATTTTTGTACTTATTCTAAATTAAAATTGTACTTCTTACAACAATAAAAATTACAATCTACATTCAACGTTCAAATAAAGAAAAGAAAAATTAAGATGGATTGGCCATTTTGGGTGTAGAGTACGGCATGGATGTTAGCCCCATGTTGGATGATGGATGCAAGTGGGAAATATTACTTTCAACGGTAAACTCAAGAAGACAACGTGTCATTAATTGAGTGGTTAGCGGCTAAGTACTGTTACACTTATCCTCAACCCCTAACAACTACTTCTCTACATGCATATTCGCTATCATATCAACAAAATCTAGCCAAATATTTCGAACTTGTATACAGTTTGATTTCTTGTTTATGAACAAAATACCAAAGTGTATAATCATCTTCCTTCCAATGACTAAGGGTGATGAAGTCTACTTTTTAGTAAGTTTTTGCTATAATTTTTTTTATTAAGAAGAATATAATAGTCAAAGCAAAAATTGATTTATATATTGGTTTTGCTTTCATTGTGCATATGTGAACTCGGATTCAATCAAATATATGTTTAATTTTTATAAATAACTATTTAATCCAAATTGAATGATTTTCCAATTTTAATCAAGCCAAATGTTCAGTCTAGTTTGTCTAGAATTAAACCTTTTGTAAATAAAAAGGTGCTTGATAATACAGATTATTGTTTTCTTCAGAAATAAATCATCATCAAATTTAGTATAGTTTAAGAACTGGAGACTGGAAAGGATAAGGGAAAAGGTTGCCTACACATGTGTCATAACAAAATCCCATGCAATTATTGCTTTCACGACTTTAGAATCTAAGATTAATATGTTTGTTTAAAATAAATAAATAAAAGTTGAAAAAGGGAAAATATGTATACAGTACACCTAGTCACCTACGTCGGCAAATGGATTCACTACCAAATCAAGGGCATGCAAAGACTTAAGGATTTGCCTGAAAAAGAGACTGTGAACTATACATTATATAGAGTATTAGGGCTTCAGTAAGACATAATGTGCCTGTGGTGTGTTTAGCCACTTATGGTTATTGTCATAGCTAAATCTATTTCCAAAAGAAAAAAACTTCTTTTAATAGTATGTTTATTTATATAAATAGGTACTGCCCCTCATATGTTGTTATTCTAAAATCAACACGTGCTCTGTTCTATCCCTGGTTTTACTCAGAATTAATTTGCTACACCTAAATACATTTGTCATTGCCAAAAACTAGTGCCAGTGTCATGGTATGAATCGTTTTGAACTTCGCTTATATATGTCTTATAGTCATTTGTCATTGCCAAAAACTAGTGTCAGTGTTATCGTCACAAACTAAAAATCTTCACGCAAAAACATTCACACGCATGAGGTGTGAATATATACATGGATTTATATACACAAGGATATTAGTAGGTTTTCTTTTCTTGTCAACAGTATGCATTTATAAAATATATTTGGCTATCACTGGATTTCATGTAATCCTCAATCTTTTTTTTTTCAACAGCCATCATTCAATATAAAATGTGTTATCTTCTTGAAATGTCTCATAATAATTATATATATAACACACCCAATAGATGATTTGTTTCTCATTTTTACGGTACACATAAAAATCACATCATTCAAATCATACATTAATGAAAAAGTTATATCTACCGGTACATAGGTGTACAAGTACATTGCCAAATCTTCTATTGCACCGGTACGAAACCGCAAACATGGTGATTAACCAGCAGTGCAAATTATTAGCCGCCATACTTCGGTTTAGGATGAATCTCGAGGACAAACCAACATGCAATAACCTTACGATTAAAAGAGACGACCTGTCATGTAATAAAAAAAAAAGGCAAGAGACATACTAACCCTTGGGCCAAGTCCACTGGTCCTTCGTATAAACACATGAAGATTATAAATCTTTTAAAATTTTAGGGTTTTGTAATATACAAAGGCTGTCTAACTTTGATTGGTTGACGTGTCGTTAAATCGTGCAAGGCCCCCCTCAAGAATCATGTGTTAAGGTTTGATATATAATATCCTCGTATTGTGTTGGATTTGGTGAGTTTCGAATGTGCTTTATATATATACACAAGAACTAAACAACATATAAGGAAGTACATTTACACATACATCTAGACAAAGTAAACTCAGTGAAAAAATTACAGTTCTATGAGTAATGCATAACATTGTATTGTTACAACTATATGGAATTTTGGAAGTTCGTTCATTCTGGTTTGCGGTTTATTTTTTTGGGTTTTGTTCGTTTCAAAACTTGAAAATTTCGCATTGGAAACTAAGTTTCATTTTATAATACAAAAGTAACACTATTATACATGCAAAAAAAGTAGTGATAATAAATGTAAACGCAACTGTCTATAGTGATCCAAAATATTAAACAATACCAAATGTTATAAAAATATCTTCGAATTGTAGGAGCTTCTTCTGCGATACTTTTGTACTGCGAAAAGCTGCAGAACAGCATGTGTGTGTCTTCTTTTCTCTTTATTTATTTAGATTTATTTTCCTTTTTTTCTTTTGTAAAATTTATTTTGTGTTATGCGAATTGCAAAGACTTTCTTTTGGAGGAGTCTATTTGCGAAAAAAAAAAATTACCACAAGAAAAATTGTCTTTTGGGAGAGTTCAAAGGTTAAGGAAGAGAGTAGAGATTCTAGAGAACAGCAATCAAACCTTGCTGTTCACAATCTTGGTTCTGGTTTCCACACATACTCGAGCCTCTTGTTTTTTTGGTCAACATTACTGTTTCTTTTTCTGAAAATGGTGAGTTGTTTACATTTTTAGTTGACAAAAAGAAGATAAAAGTACACAGTCTGCATTTGATTTCTACAAGGATTAGTATTGAATCAATAAACCAAATTTGCCTTACTTTTTTTTCTCAAACTAAACCAAAACTTCCCCTCCTCTCAACTCTTCCAAGAATCATTACCAGCTTTTCACAAGGCATCGTTTCACATAAATGAAACCAATGTTCCAAAGGAGGAAAGCTGGAGAAACAAATTAGAAGTTAGAATTTGGAAGGAAAAGAAGAAGATGTTCATCATTGTTCATCAATGAGAGAGTTCAACTTCTTTCTGAATTCAGATATCTTGTCTGCCTCCACGACCATCACTAGACCTGTCAGCTGATAATTCTTCATCTGCAAGAATCGCCATTTATAACCAAAGATTACAAACCAGAAACAATTGAATCAAACTTAAAAGTATGTTGGCAGTAAAGAGATAACTTACCTCTTGAGATGTAACGAGCTACGAGTGCATAGGGAATGTGAAGGACCAAGAGCTAAGCTGCAATGCATTGTTTTCAACAAATGTCTATGATGATACTTTTTTTTTTCTTTTCACATGTGAAGTGGAGTAAGTAATGCGAGTATAAAGTACCTCGAGAAAAAGTTCATCTTCAGGCTTAAGGAATATTGTTTCCTCCTGGTCTTCTTCGCCACGACGAGGTCTTTTCTGCTTAGGATTCTTCAACTATATAACCAAGAACCATACCACATTGTTAATACAAAGCAAGCTGATTCGAGAATCGAACAAAACACCGTGAGAAAACACAAAATCACCTTGTAAAATTTGGTGACTAGAATATATGACTTGAAGCGACACTCGAAGCTTTTCTGTAGGCTATAAACAGAAGCATAACAGATCTTTAACATTGCTCATCAGAAAAGAAGTGACCTAAAGTTTTATTTTGAAAGATCAAACCTCGTCTTCAGTGGCCCATGAGACTTCGTCGAACAATCCATCATATAGTGGAGGAAGGAGTTGGGGAGGAAGATTCGTCACTCTTTGAGATACCAATAAACCAACATCTTTTGCATTTTTCTTTAAGAGAAGTTCTAGATCACTCGCCATACTCTGCTCCGAACAAACTTTACGAAGAAACTCTTTTAGCTCTCTAAAGCACTTATTGTCCTGAACATTAAAAATAGACATCTGTCACACATACCGCAAAGTATAGACACAAATGCAAACAAACACTTCAGCAAGCTTAACAATCGAATCACACGAAACTTCAGAAAAGATGAGATCGATCATTAAGCACAGACAAAAGTGAAACAACTTAACAAAGATGAGTTTACATGACTTGCCTTGTACCTTGCCAAGTTAAGAGCAGTGACAACAGCAAATATTGACTCGTCCTCATCATCTGCTACTTTGACCACAGTTCCTACCGTTGTTTGATCCAATATCAAATCCACAAAACCACTCAAATCCCACTCCTTGTCATCGAGATAGTTTTTTAGGAGGATCTTGACTCCGTGAAAGTCTGTAGCTTTAGGGTCGAAGAACTCAAAGTCTGCTTGGACGTCTCCCTTCAAAGATCAGACACAGAAACAGAACAGTGAATAAAGACCGAACCCACAACCTTACAAAAAAGGTAAATGGAAACGACAGAAGTGTAAATAATCGCTTACCTGAGAGTCTTCTTCGTCAGAGGATTCCAGCAATTGTTCTTCTTTCCCCTTTTTAGAGATATCAGGGGACTTTTCATCTACAAAAATTAGAATGAGACATACTCATCAGGCCACTATAGTGTTCTGCATAAAAAGTCTCAATCTAAAGCTTTTTACTAACCAAAAGAAATATCTTCAGAACTTTGACAATCTTTAGGATGAGGCAACCTACGCCTAGCCGTTGAAGCAAAGGCAAGTGACCGCATAAACGGTGAAGATGCTAAAGGTTGATGCTTTGAAAATCTTCTCCCTGTGGGTCTCCGAGGCATCTCTTCAAAATACGAAACTAACAATATCTCAGGCTAATTCACCAGAATCAAAGCACAGAATACGAGAAGCAAAACGGATTCACTGGTATACGAGAAATCGATGCCGACGATATTACTTACCTTCAAATTGAGAAGTTGTAGAATTGAGTTTTAATTGAACAGCTGAGAAAAAGGGTTGGAATTGAAAAGCTTGAAGAATGGGTTTTATTGAAAGCTGGGAATTGTCGGCTTTGAGTCGGACGATTCACCGAAACACCGGTAAGAGAATCGCCGGCGAGAGAACCTACTAAAGAAACGGCTTCATGAATTAAATAAATAGCCTAAACCGAATGGTTCAATAAAATTAGTCCGTACCAGACTATTTTCTTACTACCGTACCGGTATGGTTCGGGTACAAATATTTCATTTTTTACTGTTCCAAAAGCCCAATATCGGTTCCCTCTGGACTTGGTAATTAGGCCTAATGCAACAGTAAAGTTTGGTGTAATGGGTAGCTGTGAGAAGTCAGTGTGTGTCTTCCATCTTGAAGGTTACTGTGAACATTCACATGGTGTAGTCTTCACCACAAATTACGATGGCTAGAGATCGACATTCTTATAAGATCCGATCGCCTAACCAATAAAAAATAGTAAAAATATTTATTTATCTTAAAAAGTTTTTTTTTGTTGTTGCTAAAGGCATATTTATTTTCTTGTTGCGACAAAACGAAAGCCAGCTTAGCAAATTAAATAAGAGTTTTTGGTTTCATTCGGTTTAGTAAGAAACTTGTTGGAAAAAGAGCCATAATGACGTAGGAGACTCAAGGAAGAAAACAAAAAGGCTTGTTTGGAAGTGAAAGTTAGTTTCATTGACATGCTAAAACATGTGATCTCTTCGTAGATCTATTGACTAATTAAACACAAACCGACTATATACTATTTAGCAATTAATTTTTATATTTCTTGTTATTGCATGAAAAATGTGAGAGGTTACCGTATGCACTATGCAGATTGCCCACGGGATACAAATACAATGATAGCGTATTGGATAGCGTGTCAAGGTCAAACATCTTTGTTCCAACTATTCGACGTACGTTACTAATCGAGTCTATGGAAAATGTCGAAAACTTAAAATAGTAGCCTCATAGTATCAAATAGTAACCGTGCGTAGAATAAAGATGTTCGAACAAAAACATACATTATCAATTAATATAATTATTAGAATTTTCGCTGAGGTTTTTTTAAATTCATGCATATACCTTTTTCTACTCTCTCCCCTTTCACGGCTTTAACTCTATACCGTTTGAGAATGATGTTACAAACCAAAACAACATCAATAATCCAGAGACAAAACCATTTTGAGTGGTTAACTAGTCCTTGGAAACTGCAACTATATGCGTTTTTAATTGGTTTGAGGGAAATTCAATGAAATGCAAACAGACAATTCTGATTATGGTGCATGCAGCTTCCTACAACTTAAAAAATGTTTCTTCTTTTTCAAGCAACTTCATCAACCCCTACTCTCTCTTCTTCCTATAAAACCCCCTTACCGTTAACTACTTCTTCATTCACTCTCGTCTCTTTATCTATCTCTTACTACGTATATCAACGAGAAAATGGAGATGTTTATAAGGCTGATTAGCTTTTTGGTTCTTGCCGGTTTCTGCGCCGGCGTTGGGACCGGTCAGCCTCTTGTACCGGCTCTAATCATAATGGGAGATTCAGTTGTCGATGCCGGTAACAACAATCGCCGCACTACGCTAGTCAAAGCCAATTTTCCACCATACGGACGAGACTTCTTCGCCCAAAATGCCACCGGCCGTTTCTCTAACGGAAAACTCGCCACCGACTTTACCGGTTTGAACCAGCCTAATTCCCGTTTATACTAAACATTTCGCTTAGTAGTCCTCAAATGGCTCAAATATCCTATTTCTCTTTATTCTTCCGTTTTTTTTTTTAATTTCGGAATTCTGCAGTTTATTAATTTGGATCCATACTTTTTTTTTTTTAACATTCTGGATCTATACTTTCGTACTTCATTTTTCTTGTTTTTTCTTTGTTTGTTTATTGTTGAGCAGCTGAGAATCTAGGGTTCACTTCTTACCCGGTGCCGTACCTTAGCCAAGACGTAACTGGGACAAACTTGCTAACCGGAGCCAATTTCGCCTCTGCTGCTTCCGGTTTTCACGACGGAACTGCCTTATTATACGTAATTAATTAGAGTTATTGAGTCTAGAGGTTTAATCCGCTTACGAAGTTAGTTAACCGGAATGCCTTAACGTTTTATGGTTTATCATATGTTTTGTTGTACATAGAACGCAATTTCATTGAACCAGCAGCTGAATAACTACAAAGAGTATCAAAACAAAGTGACGAGCATGGTGGGAAGAGACAGAGCAAATGAGATATTCGCAGGCGCACTTCATCTTCTAAGCACCGGATCGAGCGATTTTCTTCAAAGCTATTACATCAATCCGATCCTTAACCGGATTTTCACGCCAGATCGATACTCAAATCGTCTCATGAACTTTTATTCCACCTTTGTCAAAGTAACTTAAATTATTCCCACAACGTACCAACTTTTCATTCTACCGGTTCACTGTGAATTTCTTTAGCCAATGGTAAATATTTGCGCTTTATTTATTTATTTTTTGGCAGAATTTGTATGGATTAGGGGCTAGAGGGATTGGAGTGACGACGTTACCGCCCCTTGGTTGTTTACCGGCGGCTATAACGATGTTTGGTGAAGCCGGGAACAATACGTGCGTCGAAAGTCTAAACCGGAACGCGGTTTCCTTCAATACCAAACTAAACAGCACCTCTATGTCCTTAGCCAACAACCTTCCCGGTCTTAAACTAGTCGTCCTTGACATCTATAATCCTCTCTTGAGCATGGCCATGAACCCTGTAGAGAATGGTATGGTATTTTTGACATTCCTTTCTTTCTTTAAATCTGGCCAAATTTTAACCGGTTCACCAGACAACCCATATCATTTTTCAAGAAAGACACTAAACTTCTCCCGATTTTAATGAAATGAGCCTTTCACCTTTTCTTTGTTGTTGTCTTTTCATTAAAATTTTCCAATTTTCTTAATTTGATGTAGGGTTTTTTGAATCAAGAAGAGCTTGTTGTGGAACCGGAACAATGGAAACATCGTTCCTATGCAATGCAAGATCGGTAGGTACATGTACTAATGCTACCAATTACGTGTTTTGGGACGGTTTTCATCCATCCGAAGCAGCCAATCGTGTTCTCGCAAACAATCTTCTTATCCAAGGAATCCCTCTCATTTCCTAAATAGCCTTATTGTATTCAAAATATTTAATTTAAACAACTAAGATGATGTAATAGCAGTAAAAAAAAAAATGATGTGCTGAAAATATATGCCAGTTTTAAATCATGCAATTGTTTCTTCTTCTTTTGTTCTTTCGTCCACATTCATCTTTTGTAATATGTAATATCTTTATTAATTACACCGAAAACAATCAAACAATCTCTTTGTTTTTTTGGGTGAACTTGCAAAGTGATCTTCATTTGACTAAACTATTAGTTTTATTTTTTATTTTTCTACGTAACCTTTTACCTTTGCTAACAAACAAAGAATACCGCTAAATACAGTATTTTGTACTAGCCAATTTCGCAATGCTATGTTTGAAGGGCTTATCTATCCAAATAAATACTAAAGGACGATATTTGTATACTTTTCAATAGTTTAGGGACCTTAAAGAAATTTATCCACACTAAAGAGGACAAGCGAAGGTTTATCCATGGCGATTTAGCGCCCCAGCGCTCAAAATTCATTCATGTCCACCATTAATCATCAGTGTCTCCTCAATTTTCCTCATATTCCACCGCCGGTTTATCGGCCGAAACTTGTTCTGCCTCCGCTATCTCTTTCTTCTCTCTCGCTCTATGGAAAACCTGAGCGCCTCTTTTCCGTCTCTGCGTCTCTGTCTCTTTCACCAGTCACCATCAAAGAGCGTTCTTCCTCATCTTCTTCTTCGTTCGGAAGTGAAGAATCGGGAGAGATTGAATCTGTCGTTGATGGGTTTTTCTATCTGCTTCGCTTGTCGGCTCAGTACCAAGACGTCGAGGTAACAAAGGCCGTGCACGCTTCGTTTCTAAAGCTCAGAGAAGAAAAAACCAATCTTGGAAATGCCCTGATCTCAACGTACCTCAAGCTAGGTTTCCCTCGCCATGCCTTTCTCGTCTTCGTGTCGCTGTCTTCACCAACGGTGGTTTCTTACACAGCTCTCATCTCCGGGTTCGCCAGATTAAACCTCGAAATTAAGGCCCTTAAGCTTTTCTTCAGGATGAGAAGCGAAGGTATTATCCACCCCAATGAGTATACTTTCGTCGCGATTCTGACTGCCTGCGTGAGGATCTGTCGATTCTCACTGGGTATTCAGATTCACGGTTTGATAGTCAAATCAGGATTTCTAAATTCCGTGTATGTTGGTAATTCGGTTATGAGTTTGTATGCTAAGCACCCTGGGTCTTCCAGTGTTGATGTGCTTCAGTTGTTTGATGAAATTCCTCACAGAGATGTGGCTTCGTGGAACACTGTGATTTCGAGTTTGGTGAAAGAGGGCATATCTGATAAAGCTTTCAGTTTGTTTTATGAGATGAACAGAGTCGAAGGGATTGGTGTCGATAGCTTTACGCTTTCAACGCTTTTGAGCTCTTGTACTGATTCGTGTGACTCAATGAGAGGCAGAGAACTTCATGCTCGTGCAGTTAGAGTAGGTCTGAAGCAAGAGTTGAGTGTGAATAACTCTCTGATTGGGTTTTATGCTAAATGTGGGGATATTAAAAAGGTGGAGAATTTGTACGAGATGATGACTGTGAGAGATGGCTTTACTTTGACGGAGATGATCACAGCTTACACGACATTTGGAATGGTGGATTCTGCTGTCGAGATGTTTGAGAAGATACCTGAAAAAAACGCTATTACCTATAATGCTCTAATGGCTGGGTTGTGTAGAAACGGGCATGGCTTGAAGGCACTAATATTGTTCACCGAAATGCTGCGGAGAGGTGTTGAGTTGACGGATTTCAGTTTAACAAGCGCTGTGGACGCTTGTGGTTTAGTTTCAGAGAAGAGAGTAAGCGAACAGATTCACGGGTTTTGTATAAAGTTTGGATGTGCTTCGAATCAGTGTATCCAGACAGCATTGCTTGATATGTGCACAAGGTGTGGGAGGATGTCAGATGCTGAGGAGATTTTTGACCAGTGGCCTTCGAATCTGGATATCTCCAAGGCAACGACGTCAATGATCGGTGGCTACGCTCGGAACGGCTTACCTGAAAAGGCTCTGTCTCTGTTCCATCGCACTCTCTGTGAAGAGGAATTGGTGTTAGATGAAGTTTCGTTGACTTTGGTTCTTGCGGTCTGCGGAACATTAGGGTTTCGAGAAATGGGTTATGAGATCCATGGCTATGCTCTTAAAGGTGGTTACTTTGCTGATGTAGGCTTGGGGAATTCTCTGATTAGCATGTACTCGAGATGCTTCCACTCTGATGATGCCATAAAGGTTTTCAACACCATGCGAGAACACGATGTTGTATCTTGCAACAGCTTGATTTCTAACTACATCCTTCAAAGAAACGGTGACGAGGCACTGGCTCTATGGTCGAGGATGAATGAGGAAGGTATCAAGCCTGATGCGATCACCCTCGCTCTTGTTATTTCCGCGTTTCGGTATAAAGAGTCAGATAAGCTTAGTAGCTGCCGTGATTTATTTCTCTCCATGAAGACTGTCTATGACATTGAACCAACAACTGAACATTACACTGCATTCGTTGGCGTTCTTGGTCACTGGGGTCTTCTTGAAGAAGCAGAAGAGACAGTGAACTCGATGCTTTTTCAGCCGGAGATCTCTGTTTTGAGAGCTCTGCTCGATAGCTGCAGAGTCCATTCAAACACAAGCATTGCAAAACGCGCAGCGAAGCGTATATTATCCATCGAACCCGATAACCCTTCTGAGTACATCCTCAAATCCAACATCTATTCTGCTTCCGGACTCTGGCATCGCTCTGAGACGATAAGAGAGGAAATGCGAGAAAGAGGATACCGGAAACATCCTTCCAGAAGCTGGATAATCGATGAGAACAAAGTGCATTCCTTTCACGCGCGTGACACGTCCCACCCGCAAGAGAAAGACATATACAGCGGACTGGAGATACTGGTAATGGAATGTCTAAAAGCTGGATACGAGCCAGACACAGAGTTTGTTCTTCAGGAAGTGGATGAGGTTATGAAGAAGAGTTTCTTGTTTCACCACAGCGCGAAACTCGCCGTGACTTATGGCATTCTCTCGAGCAATAATCGGGGGAAGCCTGTCCGGATTGTGAAGAACGTGATGCTTTGTGGTGATTGTCATGAGTTCTTCAAGTACGTTTCAGTTGTGGTCAAGAGAGAGATCGTTTTGAGAGACTCTTCAGGGTTTCATCGTTTTGTTAATGGAAAGTGTTGTTGTAAAGATCTCTGGTGAATTACAAGAAGAACTTGAAACTGTTTTGTAATGTTTCCGTTTATATAGTGGCAAGTTGTTAATATACGAGAGTTTTGGTTGGGATTTGTCGGGGCAGGGTGGAAATTGATAGAATTTAAAAAGTTTGGGGGTAGAAAGGGAAACAAATGAGAAGTTTGCATGTGAGATGAAAAGAGGGAGTAGAAAGATGACGCTTGGCACGAGGGAGCAACAACTTATTACCAAATGTTATTCTTCCATTCACCTTCTTTAAATTCTCCTCTTCTGCTACTAAAACCGAAAGCAAAAAAAGTGAGTTAAAGGAAAACAAATCTCTCTTATTCTTTTTTATTTATTTTAGATATTTAACAAATCTCCCTTCTTTAATTTTGATTCTTCGTTTTCTTCTTCTTCTTCTCTCTTTATAATCTTCTTTCTCATAAAAGAGAATCAAGAGAGAGATGAGAGACGAAGATGTTGATGGCAAGTGTAGAATTATGTCTGCATGTTCCTCAGCTAAACTCTTTCTCTTCATGGTTCCTCTTGTCCTCGTTTCTGGTTTCGTTTGTGTAAATTTTGGTCCTAAAAATTCAACCTCTTTCTTAACCTCTTTGTCCACTACCCACCTATCTCCTCATCTTCCTCCTTCTCCATCTCTTCCTCCGGCGCCGGCAGCGGCACCATCTCCCCAGCAGGCGATGACGGAAGTGTCGTTGCCAACATCATCTTTATCGGCTAAAGTGGAATTTGTTCAGGTCAGGAAACTAGTAATTAGGGATAACAAATTATTCCTTTCTTCTTTCCTCATCTTTGCATGTCTTTTCTACTCTCTTTTTTGGGTCCTTTTTATTTATTTATTTTCCAATATTACATTTTACCAGCAAATGTTCATATTAATTTTTATGTTTCAAATTCCGTGGTCAAGTTACAGTCAGTTTGTCAATAAGTCAACTGTAAATTTTAATTGGTTTTATTGAGAGTTAGGAAACCGGTCGGCAAAACCGCAAATAATGAAACAAAGATTATAGAGAAATGTTTTATGATATCTGTGCGGTGGGGTCGTATAAATTTTAAATTAACCAGCGACACATGGCAATTATAATTATATTTTTTACCCTGATTATATGTGCATAACGATCTAAAGAAATTGAATTATATTGAATCAGGGTGATTATAATCAGACAATTCAACTGAACCCGACCAACATTACTTCAGTGAGTTATAACGTCACTTCTACGGCATCATCGGAACTAAAAAAGAAGAGAGTTGCTAGCAATCTAGAGAAGATCGAATTCGAGCTACAAAAGGCTCGACTCGCCATAAAAGCCGCTTCTATGGACGATCCCGTGGACGACCCGGACTATGTACCTCTTGGTCCTATGTATTGGAACGCTAAGGTCTTTCATCGGTAAGTTAAAAACACAATTATGGTTACTTTCTTTCAATAAGTTTGTATGCATTTAATAACATCGTTTGAAGTTATTAACATTTAGGTTCACTCAAGAATTTATTAGGATTAAAGTAAGTCAAACGGGTTGGAAGTATGAATTTACTGTTTGGCTAATAAATCTTTTGAATTAAATTTTAAGTCAAACGGGTTGGATGTGATGTATGTAATAAAGGCTTTGAATTGGTTTTTGCTAAAAGTGGTGATGAAACCTGGCAAGGAAATTTTCTACTAAATTTGAATATTTCGTTTTAGTGGATTTTATATTTATTTGAAGCTGGTCTGTAAAATTGTCTGTGTTGAGAATATTTATGAGAGTGCGACAGTAGTAGATGATTTGCTCCATACGACCATACCATTTCATGATTGTATCCAGAAATATTATGTATGCTGTATGTACTGATGCGTGTACCTTGGTGATGGAATTACTACATACCTTGTATAGTTTGTTTACTAAATTTATTAAAAGTGCAAGATATTCTGCTGTCCCATCTTATATGCTCAAGACAAGAAAAGTATCACATACCTTTATCTTTTTTAAGGGACTAAATTAGCAAATGCAATAGACATTAATTAGACTTCATAGCCTATCTAATATTGTTTAGCAAAATAAGGTAGCGTTTCTAAAATAAATTTAATTTTGAGTTTAAATTGCTATATATACAGATCCTTGTAGAGTAGAATTGAGTTTAAAGAGTATATTATTTTATACTAAGTTAGATGATCTTTTTTTCACATGTTGGATATAGTTGCACGTGCATGAATTGCTTTTCACGTGGGATATAATGTAACGTAGAGAAGGGTATAATATTTTTGGCATGAAGATTTTCTAACAAGACCGCAAGTGCTTATGCTTTATGTTTCTTATTACGTACTGAAATTGCTTAGGAGCTACTTGGAGATGGAGAAACAATTCAAGATATTTGTGTACAAAGAAGGCGAGCCACCTTTGTTCCATGACGGTCCATGCAAAAGCATATACTCTATGGAAGGAAACTTCATGTACGAGATGGAAGCGGATACGCGTTTCCGTACTAGTAATCCTGACAAGGCACACGCCTTTTACTTACCACTTAGTGTCGTCAAGATGGTAAGATATGTCTATGAACGCAACTCTCACGATTTCAGCCCCATCCGAAAAACCGTCAGGGATTACGTCGATCTCGTCAGCGATAGATACCCGTTTTGGAACCGTAGCATCGGAGCTGACCATTTCATGCTTTCTTGCCACGACTGGGTATATATGCTAATGGTGTATTACATGTGTCATACGTTACTACATTGTCTATATACTTTTGGTTTAGTTAATTATCGTGTTATAATCTTGGAATGTTTTGGTATAGGGTCCTGAGGCAAGTTTCTCTCATCCTCATCTAGGACAAAATTCTATCCGAGCTCTTTGCAATGCCAACACGTCGGAGAGATTCAAACCGACAAAAGATGTTTCAATACCGGAGATCAATCTTCGGACCGGATCCTTGAAAGGATTAATCGGAGGCCCGTCGCCTTCCACCCGTCCGATCCTTGCCTTCTTCGCAGGAGGTGTACACGGACCGGTTAGGCCGGTTTTGCTTCAGCATTGGGAGAACAAAGATAATGACGTCCGAGTCCACAAGTATCTCCCCAGAGGAACGTCTTATTCGGACATGATGCGGAACAGCAAGTTCTGTATATGTCCGAGTGGTTACGAGGTTGCAAGCCCGAGGATCGTCGAAGCCCTCTACTCGGGTTGCGTCCCGGTTCTGATAAACTCAGGCTACGTTCCTCCGTTCAGCGATGTGCTGAATTGGAAATCGTTCTCGGTGATCGTTTCCGTGGAAGAGATACCGAATTTGAAGACGATCTTGATGTCGATATCGCCGAGACAGTATCTAAGGATGTACCGGAGAGTGTTGAAGGTCAGGCGACACTTTGAGGTGAATTCTCCGGCTAAGAGGTTTGATGTGTTTCATATGATTCTTCATTCGATTTGGGTAAGGAGGTTGAATGTGAGGATCCGTGAGGTCTAAGTTTTTGGGTCGGTTTGTGGGTTTTTGTCTGTTTGAGGTGTGAAATTAAAGTAATTGAAACGTTCGGGCTTGTAAATTACAATTGAGCATTTTTCATGTCAAGTAAGCTGTGTTTTCTCTTTATTAATTTTGTAATAAACAAATAATACAAATAATTATATACGCATATTTTTTTCCTTTGTTGAAATTATAAAAACTACCCAAGGATAAAAATTCAAAGAAAAAATTAGCTAATGCATTGAAATACTGGTGTTTATATATTCTGTTGAATTGAATTGTATTTTAGCTATATTGCAATATTCATTACAAATGTAGAAATAGTTTGGGCTCAGCTAAAAGCCTAAAACTGACCTTTGAACGGGCCGAAAAACAAGTAACTATGGGTCTACGAAAAACCACTGTAGTGGCAGCTTTGTAATATTGTATTCAGCTGAGGGCATTTACGTCATTAATGTATTGGTGAACGCTTCGACGTTTTCGAGCCTCGGCAGTCGGAAACTTGACGGCGACGGAGCAGCAGCATCACAGCAAACAATGGCGGATGGTTTGTGATATCTCTATCTTCTTCTCTGCCTATGTTGCTATAATCACTCTGTTCATATTTTGTCTGCTTCTCGAAATCGGATTATATCTCATAGTTGCCAATTATTATTATGATTTCATCTGTTCTAGGGATTCACGTGGATCGATGGTTTCTTGATATAATTCACTCCAAATAATTGAGATTCGTTTCAGAGGAACAGAGTTAGATTCACTCAATTGAATTGTTTCAAAAAAATTAGAGAAGATGATTTCACATTCTTCAGGGGAGAGATATCGAAGATTGTTCTTAAGGCGAAATAACTTGATTCATCTTCACATGAAAATTCAAAGAAATGGGTCCTACTATTATGAAAAGAAAAGCATAGGTGTGTATATATGTCTTGTGATGCTTCACCTTAATGGTTCTGAGGTTGAATATTTTTCTTTGTTGCAGGATGCAAGATTTCTTTGGTTTTGCGGTCACAAAAACATTTCCCATTAATGTTAAAAATCTTACAATGCGAAGCAAAAGCTTAAAAGCTAAAACCAAAAGTCCAAATCTAAACCATTTCGGTGCGAGACTACTCTCACTCTCTCCAAGTTCAGCGACACTTACCACGACGGGTAAGGCGGCTGCGATATCGGAGGCCAGCTCGTAGGAGCAACGAGCGTCGTATTACCATAAATTTGATTTCCTCCGGCGATTTGATTGCTGTCCAGATTTGATTGCCTCCTCATCAATTGCTCTTTTAGTATTATACCTCTCAGCTTCATCACCTACAACACAAAACTATGTGTGTTTTGGTGGGGTCTCTCCGAAAGAATCAAAAACAGTGCGTTATGGTACTACACAGACCTCATCGTGAAGCATTTGATTCTCACGTGAAACAACGTCGTACTGTTGCTTAAGCGAGTCGTAAGACTCCTCAAGATGCTTCACCTTCCACCTCGCACGGCGGTTCTGGAACCATACCGCTACCTGACGTGGCTGCAGACCAAGCTCCTTTGACAGCTTCAGCTTCCTGTCTGAATCTAATTTGATATCTTCTTGAAAACTCTCTTCAAGTGAAGCTAACTGTTCATTCGTTAGTTTCTTCTTCTTCTTTGTTATCTCGTCCTTGTTACTTGGACACTGGTACGCATTGGTGATCTTTTCTGATTCCGGTACAGAAATAACTGGTCCGGTTTGCGTAATTGCAGGCGTAGACGAATTTCCTACCACCAGTTAATAAAAAAACAAAGAAAACGACAAACGCTCAACATTAATAATTTCAAAAGACAATTAAAAAGAAAACTTTTACATTGTTACTACTGCTAGAGCGAGACAACGAATCTCAAAACTTTTGAAAAATAGCGACGTTTCTACTTTTGGAACAGCATGGTTCCCAGGAAAAACGTAAGAACATCTATGATCTATCCCACTCAGGGGCGGATTCATGTACCCCATACTAAATCATATATGTAACTACTAACAGTTTAATAATTCAGTTGGTTTATAGCTAAAATGTTTTTTTATATAAATCTAAATTCAATCTTTTTCTATGTTTTTCCTTTTCTAATTTTATTTATTTATTTAGAATTATAAATTTTTAAAAATTAATGAAAACTATAATAATTTATATTATAATTTTCATTGTAGCTAAATTATTTTTTATATAAACTTAAATTCAATTGTTTCCATTTTTTTATTGTTTTTTCCAATTTTTTTTATTTATTTAGTTTTATAAATTTTCAAAATTAAAAAAAACTATAATAATTTATGTTATAATTTTCAATATTCATAATATATTTTAATTAATTTAATTATATTAAATATTTATATATATTATGCTTTATATATAATTATTTTCTGCGTCTGCCCTGATTCTATTTCTTACCAGAATAAGTGAGATAATCCCAAGATTTTTAGAATGGCGTACGTCTAGCAACTCTCAAATTGTCTATGTAGTGCTAAATAAAAAAATCAAAAAATAATGTGCGTATTTTACATAAATTTCACGGAAGAAGATTATATAAATTTTTTAGACAAAACTCAAAAATAGTTTAGATTAGGTATACAAATTCAGATATTCTTATTATCAGGTACGTCGATCTACCGTCCTCGAAGAAGAATTTAAAACACTTGAGAATGAGGGAAAATAAGCCGGCACTTACACGTCTACATGTATATACTTATACGTATACCTTAATACCTACAATATTGGTAATATAGATGTAATATCCTACGTATACATCTATCATTGTACAAGAAATCTGATGTACATGATTTTTGTTTTTGTTTTTAAACCTCTGAATCTCAAGAAAAAGAAGGAATTTAGTATTTAATTTTCTAGAGTAAGGATAAAAATCTTCCCATGGAGTATTTCCTTTTTAACCGAAAAAGGAATCTTATTTAAATTAACATATTCCAAGGTTTTAGAATGCCGTCTTGAAATGTTTCCTCGGATAAATTTTCATACAAGAAAACAATTTCTTTTCATCATTTACTTTCGAAACACACCTTTTTTATATATAATGAACGAAGCACTTGGGATTGGATAATAATTAAGGTTAAATGATTTGTGACAAAAAATAAAGTTAATGGATTTGTCTAACGTAAAATTAAACCAGCATTTACACAACTATATGTTTTTATAATACAAGTGAACTTACATCTTCAGCAAAATACAAACTTTTTGGTGATATGGATTAAAAAACCTTAATTACAACCCAACTACGACAAAGCCGCAAAGAGATATGAAAAATACAAAAGCATATATATATATATATATATATATATATATATATATACCTGCATAAGGATCATAGTTGAAGCTGCGGAGTGAGTTAAAGGAGTTAGACTCCAGCCACGGCGGTGGCATAAAAGCAACTCTCATGTTTTCAACGTTACTCGTCGTTGGCCATTCCATTTCCTTTTCCTTTGTTTTGTCGTTCTTGTGAATCTTATAAGAAAACATGAAAAATGAATTACTTTAACGATTAGAAAAGGAAGAAGATTTGGGATTTACTTTAACGAAGAAAACTAGGATACAAAATTAGGGTTTTGTTGGACCATACGAGCGGGAGAGGCGTGAGTTTCTTCGTCTATGCACTTGATTTGTCTTTGGGAGGCGCAGCAATGTGTGAGAGCATGCAATGAACAGGAAGATAGATATAATTATAGGGGAATATAGAGTAGGGGTCGAGATGGAGATGGAGATAGTGAAAGAAAGTAGAGAGAGAGGGAGAAAGGGGTGACGTGTGATATTTGGTCTCACTTGCACGTCATCATATATCATCTCCCAACATTTACATCTAATGGTCCAACTTAAATGTTATTTATATTGGTTCTTCTTAATTCACATCCACCAGTTATATGTACTCAAAGAAACGGTCACATATAGAACCATCAAATATGGTAAACGCCATAATCAGTATGGATTTGTTAGACTGGAAAGCTCTTTTAAACTTGAAAGTCTTAAGCATTTACATATGTGTACTTGTGGGCTTGAACATTTCAATCACCTTTAATTGACTAATAGACATGGAAGCGTAAATGTAGTTGAAATGAAAATAGACGGAACACTGATCATTTTAGATGAAATTTTGTAATTTCACGTAATTAATATAGGTGGGGGTATCAATGGTCAAAGTCAAGGTTAAAATAAGTGAAATGGTCCACTAATAAAACTCCATAGGAACTGACAACATGGTTCTCCTCACCGATCTACTTTGGGTACGTATTATATAGTGAAGTATATATGCATCCATTTTTTTGCCCTAAGATTTTTTGTTCTTGCCCTAAGATTTTTTGTTCTCCATTTGTCTTATATACACGCACTATCTAAAACCCCACAAAATTCACATAATGCAAAACGTTTGTCATAAGCGTATAAATGTGCAGTGACCTGAAAGGCCAAAAGGTACGATAAACGTATATATGTGCAGCAGCCTGAAAAGGCTAAAAGCTAACTTTGAAAGCAACTTTTGAAGCCAGGAATCAACACACATAGCTAAGTAGATCATCTATATAAAGAGTGCACCCGATAAAGCAACATAAATGATTTTAAATTAGCTTTTCGCAATAGAATTAAATTAAACTAAGAGATGAAAAGGAAAAAAAAAAAAAAGAAGATTGAAAACTAATTATCAAAGGACTACCAAATGTAAGCATCAGTGTATGTATCATACATATTTTTTTTTGTTAAAGAAAAATTCCGCCTTGTCCACTTAATAAAACAACGCTCCTCGTATTGTTTCATAGAAGGGTTTGAGTAAATTAAAAATGGGCAGCTTTTGAGCCTAAACCATTGACATAGATAAGATATTACAGTTTTTAATGTGATTATTCGTATTCTTTATTTGATATACTGTATATACATTTTGATTTGAATATACTATTTGTTCTCTTACTTTTCTGATTTATTGTATTTATATAGTTAAGTTATTCTATGAAACGACAAAATAAAAATATTGATCTGATACAGCCAAAATAATTAAAATCCTTATAAGAACTTTTAACAGAGTCTGATGCATGCATTAGAGGAAAAGGAAGACAGAACTAAAAATTCACAAGGATCAGGAGAATCCCATCCGTTGTCATTGTTTTTTGGAACTTTTCAGCAAGTTCATTATTTACAATAAATTATTTAAACTCTGAGTTTTGTTATACAATTATAGAATTTTTAAAAAGCGATATCATTAATATTTAATATTCAAATGAATAATGTACCATTATAAATTTATAATTACTATAAAAATATATGTACAAAATAAGTCGTTGAAAATGAGATAACAAAACTTTAGTGGATAGTTATCAGGTTGATAATTCTGAAAACTTTCTTTGCGCTCTTAATACAAAACTTTTATCCCAAATTTTATACTAATACTTCAAATTATTAAGAAATAATGAACAGTGATTACTGGTTTTGAGTTAATATCATGTAAAATTTGGGATAAAAGTTGGTTGATAGAGACGTTGGTTTGTAAAATGGGTTCAAATGTGATTCGGTCGCTTTGATCTGATTCGGTTGACAGATAATTAAACATCTTACAAAGATTGGGCTTCAAAGTTCAGTGACATTTGATTCGGCCCAGAATAGTAACGAAGGATCCAAAGAAGAAAAATAGAGTGACAGGCAGCTTCGTAATACCGAAGGGGTTTTACGTCATAAGTATCTTGGCGATCGAGGTTTAGCTGCTTTGTTCCTCCGGTTCTCGACGGCGACGAAGCAGCAGCAATATCGGCGGATGGTTCTCAAGTAATCGGTCTGTTCATGTTTTGTCGGGTTCTCGAAATCGGAATTGATCTCATAGTTGCGAATTATTATTATGATTCATCTGTTTTAGGGATTCACGTGTTGCGCTCTGATGTTTGATATGAAATTAATTTTGTTTTTACTATGTGAACGATGCGAATTTAAATTGAAAATCTAAATTCGTTTATTTTGAAGTAGAAAACATTTTTACTTCAGTAGTATCTTTGGATTCCTTATGGGTTTTTCTTAATGGGCTTTCTGGTTCAAACTAGAATTCCTATTGGGCCTCCTAAAGTATATTATGGTTTTCATGGCTGTAGAAACTGTGCCTATGTGGGGCTAAATGTGGTTTTGTTTTTCTTTTGCATTTAAAGAGCTGAGGGTTTTATTCGGGTGAACAGAAAGTTTGATTCAGTCATTCAACTAAAAACTAGCCTGATAATATCGTAGTTGTTCAACAAACCGACTCAACGATATTATCACATCTAAATAATTGTTGGGTTTGGGAGACCAAAACGTTCCATTTATGTTTGTTTTAAGATGTTACAATGCGCAAAAGCTTGTCTTAGTCTATCACCACTTAAACTCTTAGTCTATAAAGCTCTGTTTGAGACTCTCTCTCTCTCTCTCTCTAAGATCAGCAACAGCTATCACGGGTAAGGCGGCCAGCAAGAGGAAGTGACGACCATCGGATTGTTGTACCGATCAATACCGTAAATTTGATTTCCTCCATTGATTTGATTGGTGTTCAGGTTTTCTGTTCTTGGATGAGTTATCACCACCGATGGAATCTCCGTCGTGTCTTCCCCACCGTGAGCTTTGGTGGTCCCACCGGAGATTTGCTTCTTGATCAAACCTTGGTCTCTTAGTATAGCTCTTAGCTTCTTCACCTGCATCATAACACAATCTGTTGGTGTTGGGCTCTATGATATAGAATCAAGAACTATTTAAGAGACATACCAAAAAAAAAAGGATAATATTTAATTTGACCCCATGACTTTAAAATAGTGAGATACAGTATATGGTACACTCACCTCCTCGTGTAGCATCTGCTTCTCTCTTGAAACGACGTCGTACTCTTGCCTAAGAGAGTCATACAGCTGCTCGAGCTGCTTCGCCTTCCACCGTGCACGGCGGTTCTGGAACCAAACCGCTATCTGACGTGGCTGCAGACCAAGCTCCCTCGACAGCTTCACCTTCCTGTCTGAATCTAGTTTGATCTCTTCTTGAAAACTACGCTCAAGTGAAGCCAATTGTCCACTCGTTAGTCTCTTCTTCTTTATCATCTCGTTGTTGTTGCTCGGAAAACGGTACGCATTGATGATCTTTTCTGATTCCGGTACAGAGATAACCGGTCCGGTTTGCGTATCGGCAGGCGTGTATGAATTTCCGGCTGCAACACAACAAAACTATTTTATCAAACGCCTAGAAAAAAAGTTGGGAAATATTTGAAAAAATACAGAAAGATGCACAACAACAAATATTAATAATACAATCCTTCCGCGAGTTAAAAGATAATGTTCGCACCCATTCTGCTTAATAGAGTAACGTAAACGAATCTCAACTTTTTAAAAGTGGAGTTTTAACTTTTTAGAATTTGGATCCCAAGAAAAGATAAATTTTGGATCCCAAGAAAAGAAGAAACAAAAAAATCTTCCAGAATGAAGATAAGAACGTCTTAATTTCTCATCAGAAAAAGTAACGTTATTAGATAACATATCCCAAGGGTTTTGGAATGACGCCTGAGAACAATATTGTTTCAAATACAAAACAGAAAAGAAATAAAAATGGTAGAACTTAGGGTAGAACACTTGAAAATGGTAAAATAAGTTTTCTTCTAGTACATAGATTTGTCAAATTGAAATTAAACCGGCAGTTACACATCTATATGTTCTTATAATATAAACGGATAGACCTACATTTTGGTGAATATGGATTGAAAACCTTGACAACATTTACATTTCAAACAAAGCCAAAAAAAATATATATATAAGAGGTAAGACCATGATTAATAATTAATTGAATTTTAAAATAAAGAAACGAAAGCATCTATATAGATATTGGTTGATATTTATTATGTGTATACCTGCATAAGGATCATAGTTGAAGCTGTGGAGCGAGTTAAAGGAGCTCGACTCCGGCCATGATGGCGGCACAAAAGAAACTCTCACGTTTTCTACGTTGCTTGTCGTTGACCATTCCATTTCCTTTATTTTCTTTTCAGTTCAGTTCCTGTGAATCTATAAGAAGATATGAGAGATGATGAAAAAGCATGAAAGTTATAGGATCGAATATAAAAGAGAAAGCAAAGAAGAAAAGTAGGGTTTTTTTTTTGTTGGACCACGAGAGAGGAGTAAGAGAGGCGTGACAAGAAGGTTCTCTTCTATACACTCTGTCTTTAGGAGGTGCAACAAAGTGTGAGAGCATGCAGTGTTCGAAACAAGATATATATTGGGATATGCATTTAGAGGGAGATAAAGACATAGTGATAGAGAGAGAGAGAGAGAGAGAGAGAGAGAGAGAGAGAGAGAGAGAGAGAGAGAGAGAGAGAGAGAGAGAGTGAAATGTATGTGTTGTGTGAGGTTTTTTTCACCTAATAAGGGAGCAACCCAACAGTGCCTTTTGTTTTGGAATTTAAAGATTGAAAAGGAAAGTGTGATATAATTTTGTCTTACTTGCACATCATCAATCATCATCCATCATCTCTCTAGCATTAATATAGGTTGACATATTTTGTTGTATCAAAGGGTCACACTTGGAATTTTAAATTTTTGTATTTTGTATTTTTTCTTTTTGTATATTAAGAAATGAGAAAGATACAAAATATCATCGCTTTATTATACAAGCTTGGAAGATAATGTTCACCAATCAGAAAGTTTCAAAATATTGGAGGCCATGTGCATATTTTATATAGAATAAATTTGATTTTGTTATAAAAAATAGTTTTTAATATATATGTTTAAAATAATAGATATTGAAAAACTTGCTTGGGTAAATTTAATTTTATGTGTATATTTATTCTATTTTTTCTTCATTACCTTTATGATACTTATTATTAAAACTTAAGTAATTTTAGTAAAAACAAGATTAGAATAGGCAGTGCTAAAAGTTCTTTAACATGTGTTAAAAAGTCAAACAAATTATAAAGTAGAAGTAGAGAGAGCATTCATTTTAGAAGATAGTATAAACCAATAAATGGTAAATCAAACTCTGTCTGGATTAATTATATTTGACAGATCTTCTAAACTTGGAACTTTTTAACATTTACATGAATCTACTTGTGGGCATTAACATTTAAACCACCGTCTTAATTGACTGAATTTATAGACGTGAAAAAAATAAATGTAGCTGAAAAGAAAAATGAAGGAACATTTATGAGATTTTATATAAATATTTGTAATTCCATGTATCAGTATAGGTGGGTACTTATTCTTGTCAAAGCTAAGCTTAAAATAAGTGAAAGAGAAAGAGTGAAAATGAAGTTAATGGTCCCCCAAAACTCCATAAAAACTGACAATGTGGTTCCCCTCCCCTTTGGTTATGCCTCCATTCTTGGTCCTAAGAGTTTCAGTTATTGTTTTGTCTTATATATACCATCTAAATCTATTATATAGTGTATATATATGTGTGTGTGTGTAAATAAATATATACGCAAAACAGTTTTGTCACTAGCTAGTGGCAAGTCCATAACAATGTATATGTGCAGTAACCTGTATAGAGTATAGGGTGAGGCCAAAAGCTACCTTTGAAAGCTAAGAATCAACACAGAGAGCTAAGTAGATCATCTATATATAAAGAGTGTGATATGACCAATAAAAGCCAAAACAAAGAACGAGTTTGAAAACTAAGTCTCATTGTCCTCATCTACTGTGTACTCTTCTTTCTCTCTTTACCCCCACATTCTTTTATTAACTTGCAGTTCTACACACAATCTCTCTCTGTCTCTCTCTCCCACTCTCTCATATTCAATTGCTACTCAACAAATTGTTGATGTGTAAACAGTGTAATAGTGTAAGAGAGGGAGAGAGAAAGAGGGAGCTAGAGAGGGAGAGGAAAGGAATCTTTTGGTATGTTAAAAGTAGATAGGGTTTAAACAGATTGATGATAAGTAATGAAATTTAAAACTAACGACAGTGTATAAGAAAAAAGGGAAGCTTTTAAGCTTAAACTCTTGAAAGAGATGAGACATAACAGTTTTCATCGTGTTTATAATTTTGTTTTATTTTTTTGAGAAATATTAATGGACTTCGATGATTGCATTCAATGTAAAGGATTCGTTTGATAACAACTTATCATACTCTCTTTTTTCTTGATAAAATTCCACTATTTCAGCTAAAGACCCTTCATAAAAAGTCTTCGATATGGACCAAATAACATATTTTATATAATCCAAAATATACGTTCTCGTGTTTACACTTGTATATAGTGTTTTGAGTATTTTGTATGATATTATAAATTTTATTATGAGACAAAAATGGATTTTGTACTCAAAATAAACTAAAATTAAGATCGGTTTTTTTATAAAAAAAAAAGTCATATTAAGCATTCAGCATGAAACTTCAAAGTTTCCTATCTCTGTTGTCTTAATTACTCCTTGAATTTATGAAGTTATCGCACACTACTACTTCCAATTTTTGTGTATAATATTTTCAACTATGAAAACATGTATAAGTCTCCATAGACTAATAATGGTTCTTAATTTTTGCCTATAGTAATAAACGATGTTAAGAACCATAAGGTAAAAAAAATGGTAATTTAGTACTCCGCATAAACTTTGGAGTATGTTAATACGGCGGGTCAAGGAAATTAAATAATATCCGCATAAAAACTTTTAACAGAGAGTCTCATGCATGCATAAGAAAAGAGAGACAGAACTAAAAACTCAGATATTGAGGAGATCCAACACGTCAGAGGACAACTAATTTTCCGTTGTTATTGTTCTTTGGGACTTTTCAGAAATAATTTCATTACTCTAAAATTACTTTTATTACGTAGACCATTTCATATTTGTCTTTGATCCATTAGTTACTACGATCGGTAATCAAGAAAAAGGTCCCCACCCTTCTTGGAGGAGCTAAACTTCACTTCTCACATTATTATGGTGTTATCTTTTTAAAATTTACTAATTGGATGCTTTATTTAGGATTCGAACTTGTAGAGCATAAACAGATTTTGATTATATAAAAAAATCTAAAATTGTTAAATTGAATCTTAACACATTTTTTTTTTTGCTGGTTTGGTTGGATTAAACTAATTACTAGTTACGTACTGTAGATATATAGTAAAAAAAATAACACCATCAATAAATAACGATATAACTGAAAAGGTAAAAAACTGTAAAGAAGCTATATATATGAATATAACAGTAAAGGTTAAAATTGGAACAGTACCTCCCTTTACTATTCGTAATACGTAACTATTAAATTCCGCCGTTAAAGTCAGACACCAGTTTAAGACCATATAACTATACTTGTAAAATTTATTAAGTTGTTCCTGTGCAAATTTATTGCGGGTAGAAATTTTTACCAGACCATATATAGTAACAAAAAGGGCAAACACATTCCATAAGACTAACCCACTTATGCATTGCAAATTTATTAACAAAGTCACAAATATTTTAAGCTTAATTACGGAAAAATTGTTCTAATTAAGGGAATGATATATCTAGTAAAGCATTTTATACGCTGATAGATTTTGAAGGCTAATTGATTAAAAGTTACCTTTTATAGATTTTGGAATTGTTGGGCTTGTAGAAAGGCAATTGAAGAACCATAATAATGAACTTTCAATAATAATTTTGGAAATTCGAAACTTGAAAAACCATAGGAGACGATGATTGATATAAAATGGCAAACAGAAAGCAATACCATCTATCCAATTAAATATAGAAAAATAAAATTTCAAAATAAATCTCACGCCCGGTGGGACTCGAACCCACAATCGTTTGATTAGAAGTCAAACGCCTTATCCATTAGGCCACGGGCGCTTTTGATGACTAGCGTAAAATATTAAATAATATATCATAATGACAAGATTTTTGAACTGAAAAGTACTATCAGATCCCCCACATTATTCATATTCAATTTCTTTCCGCACATGATAACCTTTAAACAAGCATTTGCCTATATTGTGAAAGGTTTTTCATAAAAGTCAAGGCTGAAAGCATACAGAATATTCAAACAAAAGAAAGAAGAAGAAAATTTCTGCAAATATATACATGTTGAGAGCTACACTTGCTATAATCTCACTCTAAATATATGGATATTGAGAAGATTCCAAAAGTTAGAGATAATGCAGGTCGATAGAGACTCATATACTTCTTTAGAAGCTCTCTGATGTGCTTCCAAGATCTCAGGGTTGCTCAGGAGCAAGTCGATAGCTTCTTTGAGCTCTAGTCTAGTCGAGACCTGTGTAACCGATAAGGGATTCGACTGTTGCATTGCCTTCACCATATGAGAGAAATGCCCAACGTGACAACCTAATAAAACAAAATTGTATAAATGTCATGATCAAAGAGAGAGAGATAGAGATGGTAAATTGTACTATACGAGCATGTTATCATCCAGCACCTGTAATAACGGCGCAGCCAGCGGCAGCTGCTTCAGAGAGGTTATGACCAGTTAATTCCGGGAAGAAAGAACCTCCAATGACGGCTATTGGAGCTACTCTGTAGAATTCTCTTAGTTCACCTGAAGAAAACAAGCAGAAGCATATCATGTTGTTGAAGAAAGTATAGATGGATCAGCACTTTGAAGATAAATTCAAAGTAAAGAACCCAACCTAGTGTATCCACCACATATATATTTGTCTTCCTTGATGTTAGCTTTTCATTTTGAGACCTTAGAGCTACGCTTTGTCCTTCTTTCCGCAATTTCTACAAAAGTAGCTGGAGAGATTGAAATGTATTTTGCCAAAAGTTAAACTAAAGCATGCCAATAGTAAAAAAAACTATGACAATAGTAGCTGGTGGTTTTGGAACATACTTGAGCAATATGTTGTCCATGATGTGGATGTCGAGGCACAATTATGACAACAGAGTCAGGATGTGATTGGAGAAGCAATTTGTGAACACCTAAAATGACTGCATACAACTTTGATCATCAATTTTAAGAAATGCATACAAAAAAAAAAAAGAGTCGATGAGCTCCAGACGCTACTTCCGTAACAGTCACTTGCTTGAAAGATAACAGAATCAAAACCGTGCATATGAGATTATGCTACAAGTAGATCCAAAGAAATACCGAAGGGGATAAGGTTATGCTACACATTAGTTAAGACAATTTGTACCTTCTTCTTCGCCTCTATGTAATGAAGATGCAATCCACACCTTCATTTCTGAGAGTTTCGCTTTTAGAGCTTTTATACTTTCGTATGTTCCATTAGATACATGGAACTTGTTAACCACTGAAATAAGAAGCAGACAAGGAATGGATCATAATAGCGCCTAGTCAGAAAGAGTATGAGCAATTCAGCAAATGAAGAAACAAAATAAAACTAAGTAGCAAAAACATAACGGTTTGCACATAACTTCGAAACATCAAGAACTCGAAATCTCAATGAAAGAGTCTTCTAAAATACGAATATCTTGAAGCCATAGGTGGAATAAAATACCGTATTTCAAGTCTCCCGAGAAATGAATGACGAAGGGTGGTGCCTGCAGCAGCTGGAAATGTATACCCTGCAGGGTGCTCTGTAGCATTTGAGGCAAAAAAAAAGAAGAAAAAGAAAATTAATATAACCAGTTAACATAAATACTGATTTTCTGAAGCGAGCATAGGTACCAGTGGGGCAATCAATGAGAATTTGGATAGCAACAATGATGCCAGCGGTAGAAAGAGAGGACTAGACCACCGTTTAAAGGATTTTGTAGACATACGAGCGTTCAACAATGCCAACGGAATCTGAAAAAAATTGGATTAACAGAAACACAATGTTAAACCAATGCAAAGAGTCCGGTACAGGACACCATACATATGCATTGCAGTCTTTGGAGGAGAGAACAAAGTTACTCTCCATAAGCAACCATCTTCATTGCACAAATGATACATCCAGATGAACAGTGAGAGAGATGATGAATTACAAGAAGTTGTGCAGCAGACATGATGAGATTAGGCCACAGTTCGTTCTCCATTATTACAATCGCACTTGGTTTCCAATGGCCAAGGAATCTGTCGATAGCCACCGGTGTATCGACCGGTGCAAACTGGCCAATTTCGAAACTTTAGCACTTAAACAAGAGTTGAGAGACATCACCAAGCACTAGAGAAAGAAACACATACCTGGTGTAATACACCAACGGGAAGCTGCTTCTTTATCACTTCACTGCAATGGAAGAAACCAAATTACATAGAGCAAAGTTGGAAACTTCAATACCAATTTTCAAATTTATCTCCTTTACACATTGTATCGATATCTAGATTTTATCAAGTGTATGAAAGAAAGAAACAATGTGTCATACAATGCAGATACTGTCGTCGTCGTCATCAGGATAGTCATCTCTGGCTTCATATCATTGCAGCGTCTGATCACGGGAATGGCAGCCATTCCTTCACCTGAGAAGACACACCCCAACAAGAAGCCTTAATTTCTCGATTTGGAGGCTAATCGCAAATGGTCAATGAGAATTGAACAGCTTTGTTCCGTTGGAAATAAGAATCGGAAGATTGTTGAGGTTATAACCTAAAGAGACGGCGTGAAACCAGACGAGCGATCCCGACGGCCGTGCGGCGGAGGGACGGCCGAACCGCTCGGGCCAACGGCGGAAATGCTCTAGTCCCCGGAGCCTGCGCCACCGCATATGGAGGTGAATCAACGGTGATATGCCCAAGGTTAGAGCCCTGTATAACCTGTAAACAAGCACTCCAACCTCCATCGCGCCTCCGCCACTCAGCGACGGCGCCGTCGTCAGCTCGCCTCTCTTCACCGAGACTCCTTCTATGACGTCGCCGTATTCTAGTGAGGCCTTAAGCCCAATAATTCCCACTAATAGCCCAACTAACACAATTTAATATATATGTGTCAGCCATCTTGGGCCACTGTTTTATAAACTCGCCGAGCCTATATAACAGTTAACACGTTCAATGTGGAACGATCTTAACAAAGTACGTGTAATATTACTCTCATATTATTTCATTACTTGTTGGAACGATCTTAAGATTCTTCAAAATGGCAGCAAGTATTAATATTACGGACAGGTTAAAAATTACTTTAAGAAAAAGAGATAACACTATAACAGTTATTAAAAAAAATGAGCGTATCCCTTTTTGCCTGTTCTAAAATTCATATAAATTTTGACAGACAAAATTGGTCAGTGCAAAAAGTGTTAGCGGAATAACTTTGATAGCAAGTTTAGCTTCCCACGTGCCATGTTGCTTGCTGTTGAGCTTTGTCCATCGTTTCAGATTAAACTCGAATTGTATGTCCGAATTTATAATCCAGTTATAAACAACAGAAAGAAAATATATTATGATCAAGTTACATTAAAATACTCGTTATCGATAAATTCTCTAAAACCAGGATTTTTGGGATCATATTTCTTTTAACGTTGCTACGAACATTATGGCAACTCGTCGTTTTCATATATTATTGTTTCAGGCCACCTTAATTGGTCTGGTCAGCTTATGTATATTTTTTGTAAAATATAGTCAAGGACAATATATTAGAACGCTTGTTTGATTCATGGACGTAAGAACAAATAAACAATAGCATGTCAAAGATGGCTATAATTTTGTCAAAAGCGGCAAAGGTAAAGGTAATTAATATTAAAAAAAAGGTAATTAATATATGATAATCCACCTCAAAGTTGAACATATATAACAAAACAAAACAAAAAACACTTCACCTAGGAACTTTCCCATTACATATATAAATATGAAATCAAAATTAGTAATGAAACATGGAAGTAGGTGAGAAATAGAGTGATGAAGACTTGGTCTTGAAGACTAAGGTGTGGTGTCTCCTTCGCCAGATTGGAGCTAAATTGTACACATCAACTAAGTGGTTCATAGAACTTAACAATATCCAATGATAGCTTCTCGAAGTATAATGTAATTCAAGCACACAAATTCACATAATAAGAATAATACGTATTGATTGAACTTTCTTTTGTGTTTTTCTTTTATGGTGATTCGATAGCCTTTAAAGTTGAAAATTCTATTTAGATATATAGAGGGTTTATTTTGTTTCAATATACATGACAAGTGTATCTTTTATTAATCATTTGCACTAAGCAGCCACTGGAATTAATTATGTTTACCAAATCCGAAATAACATCACAATTCGTCATAAACTAATGCCAGCCTTGTAAAAAATATAGCAATTTTACACGGCGGCAAGAAGTAGACGTAGAAATCAATAGCATAAAAAAGGTATTTTCTTTGTGCTTCTTTTTTTTTTTTTTGAACTTTAAACAATGCGCATTGTACTTCTTTGTTGTTTATAAAAAACATGCTAAGTATAGACCATTAAACATTTAATAAAAGAGGTTTCAACAACCCTTGCAGTTTTTAAAAAGGGATGAAGACTAAAAAATCATTCTAAAAAAATCGACAGATACGTAATACACACAGAATATATATGCCGACAATTAAAGCTTGAAATATAACCCTAAAATAAATAGAGAGAGAGGGAGAGTTTCAGTGGCAAAGTAGATAGGATATCAATTCTATATGAAGTATGGACATTGGATCCCACCGGTTGTTGTTATAGTTCCTGAATTGTGTTTTCTACAAAACTTGATTGATTCTTTGATTTTCTATTTTCATATTCTAACTTTTCCTTTTTTTGGAATACTCAAATATATGTGTAGACTTTTTCTTTTGAAAATGAATATTCTATTTGTAATTGTTTTGTTCCTGGGGTAGAGATACACGGACGATTACATAATTATGACTAACAACATTTATAAAGAAACACATTTTAAACCTTTTTGAGACATTTCAGTCTTTTAAAAGGGAACTAGTGATAATTAGTAGTTAGTATAATTTAGTTTAAAGATTGGAATATGAAGAAAAGGAAGATTATGCATTACTGCCAATCAAAATTATAACCTATCTACTATAATCTGGCTGACGCGCATGCTTTTCGGGAGAGTTTATACAAACACAAGAATTTACATTGATTATTATATATTTTCTGTAAAGTAATTGTACTTCATTCATCATCAATCTTCAGAATGTATCTATATTTATTGATTTAGAAAGTCATAGTTAAATCTAAATTAGTCGAAAATCGACATGTAGCTGTTTGATATAAAAATGAAGAAAATATTTTTTTTTAAAGGGGAAATAAAATTGCAGGTTCAGAATTATAGAAAATGATGAAAGATGAAAGGAATAGTGACAAATGTGAGTGAAAGAAGCAAAGTCCAACTGTAAGAACCCATGTGGTTCTTTTACATTATGTTTACTTGCATGGCACTGCATGTTACTTCCTGGCTGCATGCAACATATGTAGTGACTATTGTATTTTCTCCAATTATCTATTTTTATTCATTTTTTGTATTTCAATTTTCATTATTATACCTCTGCACACAAATTTTATTATTGTTTAAGTTACCATGATAATATAGATATATAATCATACATACTTGTTTTACATCCAAAGAAATCAAAAGCCAATGGCAGATTTTAGTTTTTTATTTGTTGCTGTTAAAGAATGGCAAATATGCCCCCAATAAACGTTATAGGACATTTTTCTTTTTTTTGGTTAAAGGATTTTCACGCTATACTACATATATATTAAAGAATAAAAAGTAACAAGATGATCAAGATCTCGGCAATTATATGGCTCCAATAGTATACTGGGGTTTATAGGTGTGATGAATTGAGGTATATATATATATATATCAGTAGATTAGAGAGAGAGACAAAATAATTATATCGGTCTAACAAATCAAGATTCAAATTAAAATCAATATATAAATTAAAATAAACATTTAGGTTTGGGAAATAATATATGTTTTATGTCACGTAGCTAGAAATATTATACATCTACTATTGGTAAATTGGTATACATTTTTTAATTTATAAAAATTAGGAACAAACTTGAGTATGATTTTAGTTATTATGTAACAGTTAACTCGAGTTTATTTATAATATTACTAAATTTATGTACATATTGTATATGTTGGATAATTGCCTCGATATGTGTTCTCACATGACATGCCAACTAAATACAGACTTTAATTTGTCAACTCACTGACTTAGTAACTGGCTATAACACGAAATACCCTATCACAAGTACGAACACAATAACAAGATTAAAAGATTCCAAACTATTTAAATTTTAAATTAGTTATTTTGGTACCGGACCGACAGAAAATGAATCATTCCGTTTGAAGTATCTTCACAAACTGAAATGTTTGTTGTAATGTTGTACTGTCAGTGATAGCTAATATACCAAGTTTCTACGGTTGGGTTATATTATAAACTCAAGTTACTCAAAGTTTAAATCAATCTAAACTGATCAGAGCACTCTAGATCTACTAGTTTGTGTTAGTATTCTCGTTTAAGTTTAAACATACATAATGCATCTTGTTAACAAAACAAAAAAATAAATTAATTTGAACTAATCTTATCAATTTTCCAACTTTTAAAAAATTGGTGATTTTGTGTACTAGGAATACAAATCAAAATCTATATACTATGTATTTTGCATTTCAGTGTAGTAGAGTAAGTTAGTTTTTTTTTTTAAACTTGAATCTAATTAGTAATTACACACAAAAAAATACATCAAACCAAGATAGAAATGAGTCTTTTTGGACAAAAAGAGAGGACACTGATAAGTTCCAATTTTTGTTTTTTTTTGAACATTATAATAAGTTCCAAGTTCTAACAGTCAACCTGCCGTTGGGCAAGGCAGTCTTTTTTTTTTTTAGTTTCAGCTATTTGTTTCATCTTATTACCGTTTTAAAATATTCGAGATCGATCTACTTTTTAAATAACATGTTTTCGTTAAGTTCCGAATTTTTAATGGAGTATATTTTAAATAGAAAGAAGTTTAAGTAATAATGATTGATGGACGAAGTGGAAACGTGCTTCGAAGTTTAAGAAAGCGATTGACTTTTTTTTTTACTTGAAAGAATTGACTTTAAACAAAAAAAAAAGTGTATAAAGTTGGTGATGTACATATACATACAAGTTGGACCGTCGGCCGTCGGTGCGATTTGAAGCATCGACGCAAATTAATCATAAAACAAATGTGCGTTCTTAAATGTCTTATACTTATGACAAAAAATTTCTTATATTTTATTTTAGTTTTGGTTAAATGTTTGAAATATTCATGGTCAATTTTGATTGGTTTACAACAAATAATTTCTAATAGGGGTGACCATATTTGTTTATTTTCGGTTTTGAATTGTTGTTTGGTCTATAAAAATTGTAATATCATCACTAAATGGTGTTATTTACTTTAACAAACAACATAAAATAAATGGTGTTATTTTATCCCATATTTGCTCAAAGGATAACTAACATTTCCGACTACACAACTGATCGATTTGGCCAAATTACTTTCATATATTCCAAATTAACTCTAAAGAGCTCTTTGAGGATTTATTAAATATTATGTAAAATGTGATGTATGATATAAAATGTTACATATTAAAACTTATTGGATTTCACAGACAAAATTGGGACTCCTATATCTGTTTCACTATATATGGACCACTCATGATCTCAATCTCTTGTACGAAAGAATCGATCATTCTATAATCTGTAGAGATTTTCATTATCTTGTCAAGAGATGAGGACAACAATATAGGACAATTTTTCATCGATAAATGAACCAATACAATCACTTTGCTGTTGGAATCAACTAGTTATTCTAGTTATATGGTTTGTGTAACATTTACGTTATGCATCATCTATAATGCAACATTTCTTCATGTAGTTTTGAATTACATATAATAAATGTTATTTGGCCTTTTAATGTTAGTTCTACATAAAATTAGTGTATATATTTATTATTGATATCATTGATTTTGTATTTTATAAAACCATTAGTAAGTTTTTTTTTTGGGTCAACAGTAAGAAATTTTAAATATCAAAAATGATAGATAATAATCAGCGTTGCCTACCATATTGTTTTGACTGAGATGGTCGTATATTTTCGGACGCCTAGACAGCTAAATTTAATAATTCATAGTTGTTAGGCAATTACATCTTGAAATATTATATTATATACTTCTCTATGTTAAACTCGTAGAAAAAGAATTCGTAGTAAGAAAAATAACAATAATTAGAAGAAAAAAACGTCACTTTTAAAATAACAATCTGTTTAACCCTCCGCCTGGACGTCATTAATGTTCCGTGAGGTTCAATAATGTTTGGTAGTTATATAGAAAAGCTTATGGTTGATGGAGCAATATTTATTTCTATATAGTAAATACAGACGATAAAATAAAATATAGTATATTGAAAAATGAGAAATGATAGTGTATATTCGACAAGGGCTTTATATAAAGACATTCATCTCTCTTAATTTCTCTCACACACACACACACACTGTCTCTTCTCTCTGTTTCTGTTTATAGATCTCTCTCCTTCTTCTTCCTTTCCGAAAACCATCTTCTCCGCCTTTCATTATTATCTTTCCTCTCTTACCAAACAATAAAAACAAGAAAACAAACTCAAAAAAAAAAAAACTAAAAGGAAAATTGAATTCTCCTTACTCCCGACAATCTGAGTTTTCCAGGCAGAGAAGACAGAGATTTTTCACCGGAAAAGAAAAAGGAAAACTCTGTCTCTCTGTTTCGTCCTTCTTTTTGATTTCTTACGCCAAAAGAGACTTCTTTAGAGAATCACATTGTACCCTATTGCGTGTCTCACAAGAAAATTCCCCAAACACATATATATTCCGCAATACGGATCTAGGGTTCTTGCATCCTCTGATTTTTTTTTTGTTCTATCTTGGCGGAGTAAGAAGCAATGGAGTTGGGGGATTCGACGGCGGTGATTCCAGACTCGTTCATCGGATACAGAGACGACATAACAATGCAAATGTCAATGATTTTGGATCAGATTCGAGCTCCATTGATTGTCCCAGTCCTCAGACTCGGAGTTTATATCTGTTTAACAATGTCGGTGATGCTCTTTGTCGAAAGGGTTTACATGGGAATAGTAATCTCTCTTGTGAAGCTGTTTGGTCGAAAACCAGAGAAACGTTTCAAGTGGGAACCAATGAAAGACGATATCGAGCTTGGAAACTCTGTTTATCCTATGGTTCTTGTTCAAATCCCAATGTACAATGAACGAGAGGTACCAATTAGTCAAAATTCTCTTCTTTCTTTCTTTCTTTGTCTATCGATCTAATTAAGTTTTAAATTGATTCTTTAAATGATGTTAATGCAGGTTTATCAGCTATCTATTGGAGCTGCTTGTGGGCTCTCATGGCCTTCCGATCGAATCGTCGTTCAAGTTCTCGACGATTCCACTGATCCAACGATCAAAGTAAGCTCCTTTTTCCCAAGGATCACATAATTCTCCTAAATTTCCGTTTCCACAGATTCCGAAAACTAAAAATCCGATTTTTCGAAATGGGTTATCGATTACAGCAAAAGGGTCTAACCAAAGATCCGATTTTGGGACATGGGTTTCTTCAAAAAACCTCAGGATTTATATGGTGGTGTTGTTATTGTGGCAGGATCTAGTGGAGATGGAGTGTAGCAGATGGGCGAGTAAAGGAGTGAACATAAAGTATGAGATCAGAGACAACAGAAACGGATACAAAGCCGGAGCTTTGAAAGAAGGAATGAAGAAGAGTTATGTCAAAAGCTGCGATTACGTCGCAATATTCGACGCCGATTTTCAGCCTGAACCGGATTTTCTCTGGAGAACCGTACCGTTTCTCCAGCACAACCCAAAGCTTGCTCTCGTTCAGGCTCGCTGGAAATTCGGTAACTTTTATTCTATTTTTAATCAGATTTTAACTTCGGTAATTGAGCATTTCTTTCTATTTTGAGGTGCATACTTTTGATTTGGTTCACTTTTTCTGTTGTCACATGATTGATAAGTGCTAATCAGTAAATCACTGCTTAGTTAGAAAGTTAGACACGGGTTTGAGATTAGTTGTATCTCAATTACTACTTCCTTTTTAAGCTACATACTCTAGAATGTACAATCTATTGCAACTAATGGATAGTTTTAATAATTACAAAATTATTTGATCAATGCACATTAGTTAATTAGATGTGTGTTAATAATGACTTGTTAATGGAGGACTAAACAGACAGGGTAGAGATGGGTCAAATTAAATTAATACATTTAACTAGATTTAATAGTAAGTGAAAAATTAGAACCACCTAGGACCGTATTATATAAAACACCATAAAATAATAACATATGATATGATCATTGCATTAGGAGATCCTATTTATAGTAATATTAAATTATGGGGTTTTGATAACTCAATGTAAAAACTTTTTAGTTACATTAACAGAAGTGTCGGTGGGTGTTTTATTGTTAGGTCCCAATGTGACCTACTGAGCGGATCTTGATGTTGACGTATCGATTTTGTTCGTGATTACTTTGTGCTCTAGCTTTAAAATGTGGAACCACTTTATTCAACTATAAATTACAAAAAGTTTATTAGTATAAGATTTTTTTTTAAGGATCTTAAGAGGCATATTATCTATGGCAATACCCCTTCCAACTAATCTCATATTATTAATAGGAATAAAAACATTTGAAAAAAAACTAAGAAAACATAGACAAATAAAAAAGTTAATAATTTAATATTTTTGTCCTTCGTATTTGGTATGTCAGTTGGTAAATATTTGGTTATGGTGTTTTGGCTTTTTGCTGATTTTAGTTGAAAAATATGCATTTTTCCACCCATTTCAACAGAGTAATGTTTTCCCAAAGTCAATAACGTAGTTGTACTACTTAGCTTTCATAAATAATACTATGTGGCTTCTATAACCATAGCACTTTAACCTCTTCTACGACTATAATCTAAACACAATATTTGTAGTATTGATTTCGAATAAAGCTAGAGATTTCCTGGTCATTTATCGCACCCAGACATTCATCGAAATAATTAAATTCAGTAAATAAAAAAAATTAAAAATGTTTTATGATCAAATTAGAGTAGAGTTAAGTGGTGTTGATTAAAAAAAAAAAAAAAAAGTGGTGTTGATTCACTGGCATCGTCGTCGTGTCCCATAATGAGTGCAGAGGAACATATTGGGAAGTGTAGGCCCCTAGGGGCATGTTTTGTCATGTAGCCCAAATAGTATGGGTAGATTAGTCATTTTCATTTGTAGATCCGCCACGTGTGCTTGCCAGCACCCTCCATCTTCCATGTGCAATAATGTGGGACCCAGCTGGTCTCTTCTCTATTAGTCTCTGTCACTCTCACTCTAACCACTCGCTTTTCTTTTTCAAGTAATTTTGTTTTCTTTTTGTCTTTTTATTTCAATCCTCGATACGACCAATAATTGAAAACTCAATATTCTTTTATTTTATTAATCATGCTTATAGACAAGAAAAACTATAAAATAAAGAGATCATGTGAACTGAATGATAAAATCTAGCGAGCTGTTGAAATCTAATTGGGGTGGTCTGAGCTGTCTATAGTTTTGAGTTTCATAATTGTTTGATTTCAATGTCACCAACTGGTTTTTAATGTCTTCATCAATGCCACATTAAATGTTTACTATGCAAATAATTATATTCCAGCCATTACTAAACTCTTTATTTTATTTTAAAATTTGCAGTAAATTCGGATGAATGTTTGATGACAAGGATGCAAGAAATGTCTTTGGATTATCATTTTACGGTCGAACAAGAAGTTGGTTCTTCTACTTACGCCTTCTTCGGATTTAACGGTACTCATTTTTTTCTTCTTTCCTTAATGGATTTCTTACTACAATTTCTAACCATTTAGTATTTCATAACATTTTGTTACGATAATTTTAGGGACGGCGGGATTATGGAGAATATCGGCATTAAACGAAGCTGGTGGTTGGAAAGATAGAACGACCGTGGAAGATATGGATTTGGCCGTTCGAGCTAGTCTCAAGGGTTGGAAGTTTTTGTACCTTGGTTCTTTGAAGGTATGTTTTGTTTTTTTTCATAATTTAACTAATGTGTACGTGTCAATTAATGGCTGATATGTGAGTAGTTTAATTAATATGGTTTTAAAATACTATAGGTTAAAAACGAGTTGCCAAGTACATTCAAGGCGTATAGGTATCAACAGCACAGGTGGTCATGTGGTCCAGCAAATCTTTTCAGGAAAATGGCATTCGAAATCATGACCAATAAGGTTTTTCTAGTTGTTTAACTCTTACTCCCTTCAAACCAAATCGAACCGGTCAATTCGGTTTGTTAACCGGAACTTACATGCCACCTCTGGTTCACAATCACATTCGAGCACAAACCGAAATGTTTCTGTAGTTTTGTAATCTTGATTGGTCTCCCTGGTTATATAGAATTCCTGTTAACACTAAACCAATCATTTTTCTCCTTTTAATTTTGGCAGAACGTGACTTTATGGAAGAAAGTTCATGTGATATATAGCTTCTTCGTGGTGAGAAAGCTCGTGGCGCACATTGTTACCTTCATCTTCTACTGTGTTATCTTACCGGCTACGGTTCTTGTGCCGGAAGTTTCCGTACCGAAATGGGGAGCGGTTTACATTCCTTCTGTCATTACTCTGCTCAACGCCGTTGGCACACCGAGGTAAAAAGCTATTCCTAGAGTTTCTTGCGGCTCAAGTGACGTCTTGTTTGGCCTCTCATTGTTGGTTACATGTGTCTTATAGGTCACTGCATCTTATGGTGTTTTGGATTCTGTTCGAGAACGTCATGTCTCTTCACAGAACAAAAGCTACATTCATCGGTTTGCTCGAAGGAGGAAGAGTTAACGAGTGGATTGTTACTGAGAAGCTCGGAGATCTTAAGGCTAAATCAGCCACCAAGGCTCCAAAGAAGCTTCTTCGTTTTAGATTCGGAGATAGGTAAAAACTCTTTTCCTGTTCTTTTGGTTTATGCTAAACCATACCAAACCAAACCAATTCTAATAGTCTATTTTTCGTGTGTTTTGGCAGAATTCATGTGTTGGAACTCGGCGTCGGAATGTATCTCTTCTTTGTGGGGTGTTATGACGCGTTTTTTGGGAAGAATCATTATTATCTATACCTTTTCGCACAAGCAATCGCGTTCTTCATCGCCGGAGTAGGGCAAATTGGGACAATTGTACCTAACTCGTAAAGGGAAAACCGAGTTTTCGAGCGATGAAATGCTCGAGAATAAAAGGATGGTTTCTTTTCTTTTTTTTGGCTTCTCTATTTAAAATTCTTGTTGGTGTGAATAGAGAGAATTGATGATACGATTGTTACAGAAGATGTGTGTAGTGTGGAAGATATGGATACTTATAGTAAAGAAAAAGAAAAACATTTGAAGAGATTTTTCAGATTCCTCGAAGGCAATAGATTGTTGATTTATTGCAAGACGAAAAAGCTTTTGAATCTTTGATTCCATTTTCTTTGTATTGAAATTATCTCATTGTAAAAAATGGGCATACACCATAACCAAACAATGCATAGTAGTATTACACCAAATCACATTGTATGAAAAGAATTTGCAACATGCTAGATTGTGATGTTTCTCTAACAAGGGAGAGAATATACAAAAAAAAAAAAAAAATTGAAAGCATTGTAAAAGTTTGCATTGCCGAGAAATTTGACATTAGTGGTTAATACTTCTACAATTTTTAAACTTTTTTTTTTTACTTCTATGGCGTGGTAGTTGATTTATTGATATGATTTGTTTTGGTCTCTTCAAATCTAAAACCAATTTTTTAATGGGTTTGGATTTTAAAAGAAATGACTAAATTGCAATAGCCAAAATAATTTTTTTAATTTACATGTTATTTAGGTGATGAATGTTTGATTAGTTTTTAATTTTTGGTTTTTAGTTTTTGGTTTCTGTTTTTAGTTTTTAGATTTTAGATTTTGGTTTTTGGATTTTGTTTAGATTTTGGTTTTTCTAAAAACTTGAATGGTGATTTATTTAGTTTTTAATTCTTAAGTATATTTTAGTTTTAATTTATATTTACTAAAAAAATATTTAAAATAAATATCGATAAAATAAAATTAATTAAATTAATATTAAAAGAATAGAAATTTTGGTTTATGCATCAGATATTTTTGCATTTAATTTTTTATTTCGCGATAAAAAAATTAATTAACAAAATAAAAAACACACTTCACGAAAGACAAAACTCAGAAATTGCAGTATATATTTATGTAAAACTTTTGGATTTCAATCGCTCGGTTGGACATGTACAGATTTATAAAGAAGCAAAAAAAAAGAGGAAAAAAGGAAATGCAGGCTGTGGGGTTCGAACCCACGCGCACTTATGTGCAGAAGAACTTAAGTCTTCCCCCTTAACCACTCGGGCAAACCTGCTTCCTGATATTACATATCATATATTAATTATATACTAATGTCATTGCAATGTATACCAAACAAAAATAAAAATCATGGACCCTTTCCCTTGGCCCATTTGGAGACTACGTTTATATAAATTAAACCATTTTTCCTGGGCCCATTGGGTAATTAACTACAATTGATGAACGACGGTGTGCCATCTTGAATCTCCGATGCGTGTTTTGGCCGAAGAACTACAAATGCATGGGTTTTTCACTAGAACAGCCTCCAGAAGACTTGAGATGACATTGATATTTCTTTGATAGAACTAAACACAAAAGGTTTTAGCAAAAGTTTCATCTACCCATGACGACGGTTAAGAAAACAAGGACGAAACGCCTGAAAAAAAAAGACAACTAAAACTGGATCACTCGCATAACCATAGTTTGGAAAAGTCTAAATCGGATAACGGAGGGTTCTCTTGTTTCTTCTTCTTCATCTGGTTTCAAGCAGCCGCGCTGTGTTTGGCCTTCGTGTGAGACTGCAATCCCATCTCCGAAGTAAAAGTCCTGTTGCACGACTTGCACCCAAACGCACCTGCAGACTTTGGTGTCTGCTGCTGCTGCTTCGACGCCTCTCCGTTGCTCCCCGAGTTCTTCCCTGCCTGTTTTGATGGATGCGGAGTTGCAATGTGGACATGCGGTGTCTTGGTCTCTGTTTTCACAATGTTTTTAGATTCATAAATCAAGCCTTCTTCTTCCCCTTCACTAGGATTAAATTTGGAGATTGATTAGAGTCACCTGTTTTCTGTGGAGTCACGAACTTAGCCTTCTTGTTGGAAGCAGTCTTCTTCGAGGTGTTGGCTTCTGCAGACCTCTTCTTGGATTCTTCAGCCTTTTTATGAAACAAAAGAAGTAGAATCAGGTTTGAGTTTGATCACGGAAACAACGAATAGAAGGGTAATACTGCAAATTCATGTACCTTCTCTGGGGTGCCATCGTCTGATGAGTCTTCTTCATCACTGTCTGATGAGTCATCTTCGTCACTCTCAACTTCAGCAGTAACCTTCTTTTCCTGAAACGAAGTAGCAATGAAATGAGAGTGGGATCAAACACAGTGGGCATTCAGAGTTCAATTGAAAAATGAAAAGACAACAAAACAAACTGGAGGCATCATATCTAACTTCCCGAACAACAAAGGCAGCACCGATACTTTCAATAGGAGGACACTAAACACAAAAGCAATTGAAACTGTTATCACAGAAACTTATGACAACTCATATGACCACACTGTGTTTATACGTTTAATGTGTCGCCTAGTCTAAGTTTAATTCAGCAACACATTGAGCCGTTAGTATATAGACAAGGATACCTCCTCATCTCCAGAGTCTTCCTCTGATTCATCTTCAGACTCTTCATCACTATCATCATCATCTTCTTCATTAGGCAATTGGAAGTTCACCTGTTTGGCACCTGATTTCGCAACAGCTGGCTCTGCAAAGGCCACATCATTTAGAAAAGATTGATGTTACTAAATAAACTAAAATCAGATAACTGGAGGGAATTCATAGCAGGTTTAGATAAAAAAAAAAAGCCCCACTCACCACTAGCAACGACTTGCTCATCGCCGTCAGTCATATCATCATCCTCAGAGTCAGTGAGACAGGACTAGAGAGTCAAGGAGGTCAAAAACATAGCACAGCAACAGTTCCCCAAATGGTAGGGTTTAACGATAACAAGGCAAGTTTAAACAGTGAAGGATATGGATCAGATGACTCGACTTTGTAGCCGGAGAAGAAAACGCTCCCATTCTTCCAGTCATGAGACAGCTCGAAACGCGTTTCCAACACAATCTCCGTGCGCAAATGAGGAAACTTGTCATGCGACAGCGTCCCAATGACAAGCTTCTGATCTCCATATTTCAGGTAAAGGCGGACTGGCTCGTTTCCATTGTTCTTCTTCTCGCCCAGAGCAGCCTTCAATAAGACCAAAAATTATGTGTACATGCGTTGCTTCAATCAAAAATCAATACTGCGATTCTAAAACAGGCTTTACCAGTGAGATGTGCACAAGCATTTCCTCCCCAGGAACCACCGAAAGTGGAACGCCACTTTTAACCTCAACACCTGAAAACGCATAAACCATCATTTCAAACATTCAATAAGTAAAAAGTTGCATGAGAAACTATCAAAAGTCTCCGAAACATTAGCAAAACCTCTACAGTTTTTTTTTCTTCCTAGTTTCAGCCACGAAACTATAATTTTCGGAGTTAAAACCTAGAAGAGAAAAAACTTTCTAGTTTTCCCCAATTTTCAAGGAAGCCGTACAATATACACCAAATGGGTCATACAAACAGACGATTCTGAACGAAACTCTAGCTCGTTTAACTAGACGATTCCAGAGAAGATGCGGTGGAATCCAATGGAAGAAAGAAAAAAAAAACTGGTGGGCTCGGAAGATGAAAACCCTAAGCGCACAGAACGCAGAAAACGAAGTAAGACACGAAATCGTTTACCCCAGAACTCCATTGACACGAGTGAAGGCGACCTGAAGGCGACGATGCGTCTACGAAGAACGTTCTAGAAGAAGATGAGAGCGATTCGTCTCTCTCGAGTTATTTAGAATTTTAGAGCTTAAAGTGAGGGGAAAACGCTGAAAACGTCGATGGATTTATTAATCGGCACAGGGAACCTAGTGATCCTCTGTTACGCAGACCACTTGATGATTTCTGTACTCTTCTTTTATTGGGCCTACTTTCAAAAGTGAGCCGGACGAAATTATCGAAATGAAGCCCATCTTTTTTATCTTTTATTTGTAACACTCTTTGACGGATTTTAATTAACGGTGTCAAGACGGATTGTAACGGACTTGTGACGCTTTTTTTTTGACGTGGCGGAGATTTTCTGGTTTTTCCGTTTGGTCAGGCATTTTGGTCAACATGTAGGGACCCACTCATGACAATCTTCATTCGTCAAAATACCCACGGACAAATGGAGCATCATTACCTTAATGCCCTCGAGGAATACTGTTTAGTTTATTTGTTTTGTGTAAAAGACGGTTTAATTTTTCATCAAAAAAAAAAACGATCCATAGAAAAACCAGTTTAACAAAATCTATGAAGTATGTGATAACAATAAGTACGGTCCTACTACGAATAATTAAATATGTAGTTGCACGAGTGGGAATAAGCAACGATGCAGATCTTAATTAAGCCAACTACTAATGATTAATTATATTACATTTTTTTTATCAAACAAAATACATATAGATAGCTAGATCTATTCGATGCTTATTGTGTGTATAGAGATTTACAGGTATATAGTTTTTCTTGGCGTGAATCAAATGAACATTTGCCAAATTCCAAAATTATGAAGGTATAAATATTAATTGGTTGTATAGATGGACTCAAAATAAATTAAAAATATACATTGATAGTAAATGTTAATTAGTAACTGCTTTTTAATCATTAACGAATTAATGAAAATATATTGACTAGATCATATATATGGTTTTATATGCACCGATTTGTTCATATTAATTAGATACAAGTATATGTACTTATTTTTATGCCTTAGCTTGTGTGTGAAACCTCTAAATTGTTCGCAACGTTGATGATTTGATCACATAAAGTATACCTTAAACTTTATTAGATAGGTTTTATAAATTACAACACTAGTTAGATCTGTGTGTTTTATAAAGTTGAGGGATATGCATTTCAAATCCACATTCTTGAATTTATGCGTGTGTGTATAGTTGAATCATAACGCTAACAAGTTGACGTCACACACAAGTTGAGAGGATGGCTGCTATTTAGCACTTTTCCGAAAATACTAGTTCTAATAAAAATGTGTTAGGATTGATGATATTTAGTATCCCAGATTTCCCCTTAAATGTTACAGTAGCTACTTTATACTATTAAGCACCCGTAATAATCTAATTATAAAAGTTGACAAAGCTTGAAAAATACCCCCGAAAAAAAGAAGCAACTTACTGAAAATATCTACGAGGCGATGGCTAAGAAATTAACGTAATGACAAAATTCGTTGAGTGCATGAACCTGGCAGTATTCGATGAACCTTAGTGCTATTGGTTTATTTATTTATTGTCCAACTTGCGTTGATAACTTGATACATAAATTAATGACAGCTCATTGACCATCCAGAAGACTCTAAAAATCAAATGAAAAATTTTAGTGATAGAAGAAGTTTTAATCTTGATCATCACGGCTAACTTAGTTATATTGGGATTTAACTTTTGATAGATTTGAAATAATTTTCCTTAAAAATTCATATATTATCTCTATATACTGAGTAGATGTTTGGTGTAATCCAATATTAGTTTTCATATCGTTTATATGTATAACTTAAGTTAGGTCCAGTGTATGTTTATATAGTTGTTAGCCACAAGTACTGTCACTATTTTACAATTGTCAAATTTCCTAATAAAATAATTACTCTAATTAGTGTATAAATTTCCATAAAATATTTAAAATTAAAATGTAATGCTCGTAAAAAAAATATTTGAAAATCTAAAATTATATGACAAAAGTACAATAATAATAAAATGGCTTTTTACAAAATATATATAATGAATATCTTTACAACAAAAGAAAAAAATTGATGGCATTAAAATAAATGAGCAAAGAATTCGATTAAAAAAACAAAGAAAACATGAAATGGAAAACAGAACAAAAAAAAAAAAAAAACTAAAGATGATAAGTTGGAAACGTTGTAGACAAAATCGGTTGAATAACTTGGTCAGAAGATAATATCTAGTAGTAATACTGTATATTTGAATTCTGAAATGGGGGCAAATAAATATTTTTCGTATGTTTGTCAACATAAGGAGAAGAAAGAAAAAAGTTTCCATGAGAGAAGAAGAAGATGCATGCATGGTACAAGTCACACAAGTCACACGCAGAGTTACGAATGTTTTGAATAGACAAAAGAATATAAATGCATAAGAGCCCATCCTTTTCTGCATACACGAATACATTATACATCCCCCTCCAGCCCATACCTTCACTTACCAAAAATTTCCAATTTTTGTTATTTTTATCTAAAACACTATAATCAGATTCATTAGAAACTGTGGCTTAAAAAAGCATCTTGTTTTATTTGGTGTTGTGTTTATCAACATGTTTTATACATCGATGACATAAATACAAGTTCACTCGGATCCACTGTTTTCAACCGAGATTGGTCTAAGATATATATTACGAAACCTTTTTGGGGATATCAGAGATATGTAATTAAATTTAATACGTAGACTATACTTGGAATTTATGGACAACATGGTTTTGTCTGTTACACGTAGGCGTGTTCCTCTTTTAGCTTGTTTCCTCTTTGAATACGATTACTACTTAGACCATCTCCATTGGTGAACTCCTATTGGAGTTTTTAACCATTTTTTTAACATATATTTTCTATCACTTCATTTTAAAAACCTTTGTAAGAGATTTTAATTTTTTGCTCTTCTATTGGTAGAATTTTTAGTGGGGTTCTTAAGAAGAAAAAAAATGTATATTTTAAAAATTATTCAGCTGTTATTTGCCACCGGTTACATTCCTAAGTATTATAAAATCCTTCATTATAGCCTAATTAAAAGAATTTGACAACTAACACAAGATTTGGATTGGATTACCTGATAACTAAACCAATAGACTTTCTATGACTAGATATTTTTCTCCCTTCCTTGGACTTGAGATTCCTGAGAACATTCTGATCGAAGCATGTAGCAAAGCATATCTGCAACAGACGAACTTAGGATGAGAAGCAGACATCTGAGACATAGTGTGATGATATATATATTGGAGCTGGCTATTAGTACATGCTTGTAAACAATAGAATTAAAAGCAATTCAACATGATGAACACGTTTTCAACGCTGATATCTTGTTAAGAGAAAAAAATAAGAGAAGGGGATCATACAGATGACTTAGCTTTGTCAGTTTTACTAATGTCTTGGGGTGCCTCCAGTAAGTTGGTTGGAAGAGAGTCCTCTGGAATCAGCAAAACAATCAAATGAATCATGTTTGAGAATATCAAAGAGTCATGAATCTGTTTCGATATCTTAAGAAATGATTAAGAACCATAAACTTACTTTCCAAAAAGGATCTATAGCGATTGAGTTCAGTCTGATTCTACTGCTTGAGTGATGTCTTCTGCAGCAAATGCTCTAAATCCTTCTCTGTCATAATCTCCTGCTCTTTCTCTGTATTTCTATCACTAGGTCTGCAGCAATCCACAAGTACAACAAACAACATCTATAACACTATTACGAACATATAGTTTCTCTAATTAAAGACTATGTATATATACAGTGAGATTGTTCAGAGATGTCAAGTGTCTTACGAAAGATAAACGAAAGATAAATTCCATTTTTTTAACATATATTTTCTATCACTTCATTTTAAAAACCTTTGTAAGAGATTTTAATTTTTTGCTCTTCTATTGGTAGAATTTTTAGTGGGGTTCTTAAGAAGAAAAAAAATGTATATTTTAAAAATTATTCAGCTGTTATTTGCCACCGGTTACATTCCTAAGTATTATAAAATCCTTCATTATAGCCTAATTAAAAGAATTTGACAACTAACACAAGATTTGGATTGGATTACCTGATAACTAAACCAATAGACTTTCTATGACTAGATATTTTTCTCCCTTCCTTGGACTTGAGATTCCTGAGAACATTCTGATCGAAGCATGTAGCAAAGCATATCTGCAACAGACGAACTTAGGATGAGAAGCAGACATCTGAGACATAGTGTGATGATATATATATTGGAGCTGGCTATTAGTACATGCTTGTAAACAATAGAATTAAAAGCAATTCAACATGATGAACACGTTTTCAACGCTGATATCTTGTTAAGAGAAAAAAATAAGAGAAGGGGATCATACAGATGACTTAGCTTTGTCAGTTTTACTAATGTCTTGGGGTGCCTCCAGTAAGTTGGTTGGAAGAGAGTCCTCTGGAATCAGCAAAACAATCAAATGAATCATGTTTGAGAATATCAAAGAGTCATGAATCTGTTTCGATATCTTAAGAAATGATTAAGAACCATAAACTTACTTTCCAAAAAGGATCTATAGCGATTGAGTTCAGTCTGATTCTACTGCTTGAGTGATGTCTTCTGCAGCAAATGCTCTAAATCCTTCTCTGTCATAATCTCCTGCTCTTTCTCTGTATTTCTATCACTAGGTCTGCAGCAATCCACAAGTACAACAAACAACATCTATAACACTATTACGAACATATAGTTTCTCTAATTAAAGACTATGTATATATACAGTGAGATTGTTCAGAGATGTCAAGTGTCTTACGGTTTAGGATTCAGTTCCGAGGTTGAAATTGCCACTTTAGCCGCTTGTTCAGTCGTCTGATTCGCTTCCATTATCTTCTTATTCTTCTTAATCGCAGCCGCGCCGAAATCAACACCACCTTGACCAATCTTGTTCCCGAGAATAGCAGAGACGCCATTGATGGGTTGGTCAATGGAAAACTTGGAATCCCTAATCCCGAATTGCTGATTGAGGAACTCGAGATCGAAGAGCTTCAGTTTCTGATGATTCGGCCATGGAAATGAAGGTGGGTTGATCTGAATCAAACTCTTAAATCTCATTGTTCATATCGGAAGAGAGAATAGAGAGAAAGATTTTTTGTTGTTGTTGGTTTTTGTTAAAATTAACCTATCAAACCAGAGATTGACACATTATCGTCTCTTAACAATTCTGAAAATTGTTAATTAACATACGCCTCTTATCTCTTTTACTTTATTAATCATTTATTTTCTTTATTTTTTACTTTTAAAAACTCTTAAAAAACTCTTAAGAGTCACCGATGGAGGTGTTCTTAGGTTTACTTTATTCTTTATCTTACAACCGCAGTTGCATTCCACCAAGAATATCAATAGTTTAATACCAGATCTTATTAATTAGAATTACTTCTCTTATTTGTTTGCAGCAAAGGAGATCATGTAAAGTAATCAAACAAGACATTTTGATAATTATTTACGGATAATTGTATATAGTATCAAGTAACAATGCTCGGTAAACAAAACAAAAAAAAAAGCCATTTCAATTTTATCTTTTCAAATGTCAAAGTTCCTTAAAAAAGAGGGACATAAGAGGAATATCACGAAACTATCAACAGAAACGCACCGAGTTCACAGTTTCTTCTGATAACACCAAAAGAAATTCCAAATCCATTAGAGAGAGAATAAAAAAAGGGGGAAAATGGAAAACTAGAGAGAGAAACAAGTGGCTAGCTCGCCAAACTTCTTCAACAATGGCGGTTTCCTAGGGTTTGAGGTTATATTGATCGGAAAGTGTCTCATCTAGATCGCGAAACTTCCATGGAAATGCCCGGTAGAAGATCCAATTACACTCTGCTTAGTCAATTTTCGGACGATCAGGTGTCGGTCTCCGTCACCGGAGCTCCTCCGCCGCACTATGACTCCTTGTCGAGCGAGAACAGGAGCGCGAGCAACAATAACAGCGGGAACAACGGGAAAAGCAAGGCGGATAGAAGCGGATTCGATTGGGATCCTAGCGGTGGCGATCACAGGTTGAGTGGCCAGCCGAATCGGGCTGGGAATATGTATTCCTCGTCGCTTGGGTTGCAAAGGCAATCGAGCGGTAGCAGCTTCGGTGAAAGCTCCTTGTCCGGGGATTACTATATGCCTACGCTTTCTGCGGCGGCTAACGAGATCGAATCGGTTGGATTCCCCCAAGATGACGGGTTTAGGCTCGGGTTTGGCGGCGGTGGAGGAGATTTGAGGATACAGATGGCGGCGGACTCGGCCGGGGGATCGTCATCTGGGAAGAGCTGGGCGCAGCAGACGGAGGAGAGTTACCAGCTGCAGCTTGCATTGGCGTTGCGGCTTTCGTCAGAGGCTACTTGCGCCGACGATCCAAACTTTCTGGATCCCGTGCCGGATGAGTCTGCTTTGCGTACCTCGCCAAGTTCAGCCGAAACCGTTTCACATCGCTTCTGGGTAGTGGTTTAATTTAATTGCCTTCTGTTCGTTCCTGTTTAGCTTTGTTTAACAAAAGTCTTGCATCTTGGTTTATGCGTCTGAATTTTGATTGCCGAGTGCTTTGGTTTGGGATTCCGAGCTACTGTCTTTGATATCGAGATATGGTACTCTTGTTTACAAGTTTCATCTAGATCTCCTATCAAACCGTTGAGAGATCCAAATGATGCTAGAATTCTTTAGTTTTATATGTTATTGCATAATGAGTGTTAAGCTATCGGATACTTGGGGAGTTTTTGAAGGTTTAGAGGGTGAGATAATCAATATATCTACTTGGGATGAGTTGCTCAGGATTGGTCTTTATGCCATAAAATATTGACTGTGTAGTGAAATACCTATTTGTCATTTGTGATTGACATTAAACCTACATTGCTGTTATTTAATACCTTGAGCATAGTAGAGAGAAGGTACAGGAAGCTCTGCAAGAACTGTAAAATCCAATGGCTTATCATAATGACTAAAAGCTAGAGCTACTGTGGTGTATGAGGTGATGGAAACCATGCAGGGAACATTCAACTGATTACCTTGCCCCCACAATGAGTAGTGCATTGTTGTTTGTTGGCAGTTCTTGTCTTTTAAGAAAAGTTTGTTTCTTTTTCTGAGTCGACTAAACTAGAAAGAGAACAAATATATTAGTAGCATATGAGATATATTGTTTTAGATGCTTGCAGAGTATGATTGTTTTGTTTACTGCATCAGGTCAATGGCTGCTTATCATACTATGATAAAGTTCCCGATGGGTTTTATATGATGCATGGTCTGGATCCATATATCTGGACCTTATGCATCGATCTGCATGAAAGTGGCCGCATCCCTTCAATTGAATCACTAAGAGCCGTTGACTCCGGTGCTGACTCTTCGCTTGAAGCGATATTAGTCGATCGGCGTAGTGATCCAACCTTTAAGGAGCTTCACAATAGAGTCCACGACATATCTTGTAGCTGCATAACCACAAAAGAAGTTGTGGATCAGCTTGCAAAACTTGTCTGCAATCGTATGGGGTTTGTACTCATACAATCCTCTTAATCAAGTAGTAATAATATGTCTTCCTATGACTTCTCACATTTCTTAGTAATCGTTAATTCTCGCCTCCTTCAGGGGTCCAGTTATCATGGGGGAAGATGAGTTGGTTCCCATGTGGAAGGAGTGCATTGATGGTCTAAAAGAATGCTTTAAAGTGGTGGTTCCCATAGGTAGCCTCTCTGTTGGACTCTGCAGACATCGAGCTCTACTCTTCAAAGTGAGAACCCAACTTCGTTGATATTGGCATCACATTTAAGGCTTATCTTTTTGAATGGATCATATATATTATTCCACTTCTTCTATTTTTTTGTATAGTAATACTGTGAAGAAAGTTTGTTTTTTAAAAAGCGGTGTTAGTGGGCAGACAATGTGATATGCAATTGTGCATTACTTTTAACTAAATCTTCATTCCTGCCATTTGGTGCACGCAGGTACTGGCTGACATAATTGATTTGCCCTGTCGAATTGCAAAGGGATGTAAATATTGTGATAGAGACGATGCTGCATCGTGCCTTGTCAGGTTTGGGCTTGATAGGTACGAGTCCAAGTGATTGCAATGGAGCCTTTTTTTCCCCTTTTGCTTTGCATTTTTGTTTGTTTCTCAAAATATTAGGTTGATAACGTGGAAACTTTGTTTTGGTTTCAGGGAGTATCTGGTTGATTTAGTAGGGAAGCCAGGTCACTTATGGGAGCCCGATTCCTTGCTAAATGGTCCTTCATCTATCTCAATTTCTTCACCGTTGCGGTTTCCGCGACCCAGGCCAGTTGAACCCGCTGTCGATTACAGGGCACTAGCCAAACAGTATTTCACTGACAGTCAATCTCTTAATCTTGTTTTCGATCCCGCATCAGGTAATTCCCATTGGAAAACCACAAATAATATGTTAACCTACTTGCATGCTTCTTACATCTCATTTTGTATTTCCCCTAAAAGTGGAATATCTTGTCAGTTAGGGTATTTCTTGATTATATCTTCGATATTTGTAGGGTTTGCTGTCGTAGAGTTTATATTACTTTTTTCCCGTCTCGTTTCATTTTTAATGGTTTTTGGTTGTGCATGTTGGTTTGTGGGTGGGTGGGTGCTCTGCTTTGGAATTGGGTTACTTTACTAGTAAATCTTTAAGTTTAGACTCGTTAAAATGCTGTTCAAGCATTTTATGTCTGGCTCATTAATGTGAAAGACTTGTTTTCGGGACTCTGATCTCTTATATCTGATTGTTTGAATTGTTGTAGATGATATGGGATTCTCAATGTTTCATAGGCAATATGATAATCCTGGTGGAGAGAATGACATTTTGCCAGAAAATGGTGGTGGATCTTTACCCAGTGCTAATCTGCCTCCACAGAATATGATGCGTGCGTCAAATCAAGTCCAAGAAGCAGTACCTATGAATGCCCCACCAATCACTCAGCCGGTTCCAAACCGGAACAGGGAACTTGGACTTGATGGTGATGATATGGACATCCCCTGGTGTGATCTTAATATAAAAGAGAGGATTGGAGCAGGTACTAATTTAGTAAAATAAGGTGATCTAGTTTATGAACGAAAGGAAATATGAAATGTTTGAGTAAGTGGTTTTGCTTTGGACTCTGTTCTAAAACAAAAGAAGGAAAGATTGCTGCCCATGTAGAGATATTTTCTTCTATGAGAGTTCTGGATTGTCTTAATCTGTCCACTTATATTTGAGCTACTGCTCTTTCAGGTTCCTTTGGCACTGTCCACCGTGCTGAGTGGCATGGCTCGGTAAGAATTTCTCTGTCTGAATTTTACATGTCTTAATCATTTCGCTTTAGATGAGGCAAATTATTTAATCTGTCTGTTCTGTCATTAATTCTAAAACTTATACTTGGACGGAAAGGTGTTTCCAAGATTGGGATTTTTTTTCGTACTATCATAAATTTATCTTCCTGTTTGAGTTTTCCGTATTACGAGAAAAATTCTAATTTTAATTATTGCAGGATGTTGCTGTGAAAATTCTCATGGAGCAAGACTTCCATGCTGAGCGCGTCAATGAGTTCTTGAGAGAGGTGCACAAGTGAATTTTTTTGTCATGTTTTTTATGAAGGACTTGGTGTATTAATGCGCTGCATGATCTTCATCCACTGTTAGGTTGCAATAATGAAACGCCTTCGCCACCCTAACATTGTTCTTTTCATGGGGGCGGTCACTCAACCTCCAAATTTGTCAATAGTGACAGAATATCTATCAAGGTATGGTTTGCCTGGAATTTCGTAGTTTTTATGTGCTAGTGTAGAGTTTTACCCTATGATATGGCTAATACAATGCTTTCTTCCAAACAGAGGTAGTTTATACAGACTTTTGCATAAAAGTGGCGCAAGGGAGCAATTGGATGAGAGACGTCGCCTGAGTATGGCATATGATGTGGTATGTTTGATCTCCTTTTAAAAAAAAATAATATTCTTGTATGGGTGCAGATTGAGTTGATTACTTTCTGATCTTGGAGTTTCTTCTCGTTGAATTTTCTTGGCAATTCTCTGTTGCAGGCTAAAGGAATGAATTATCTTCATAATCGCAACCCTCCGATTGTACATAGAGATCTAAAATCTCCAAACTTGTTGGTCGACAAAAAATATACAGTCAAGGTTAATCTGAGTTACAAAATCGTGGTGTCCAGTGTCTTGATTTTGAATATAAGTATATATATATCACTCCTCTTGATAGATTTCTTTTAAGTCCTCGATTTGTCTTGAAATTTCAGGTTTGTGATTTTGGTCTCTCGCGGTTAAAGGCCAGCACGTTTCTTTCATCAAAGTCAGCAGCTGGAACCGTAAGTTCAGTTGGTTTAAAGCTAAATCAAGCTGAACTACTTAACTCTTTTTGGTCCTTTTTGAAATTTTGTTCAATGGACTAAATAAATTATTGACTTTGATATATCAGCCTGAGTGGATGGCACCAGAAGTCCTGCGAGATGAGCCATCTAATGAAAAGTCAGATGTGTACAGCTTCGGGGTCATCTTGTGGGAGCTTGCTACATTGCAACAACCATGGGGTAACTTAAATCCGGCTCAGGTAAATTCCACTCGAAATCATCTCGATAATATTAAAATATATTACGCACATTTCATAACACACTATCTATATGATCATAACAAAATAAAAGTGCGGCGTAGGTTGTAGCTGCGGTTGGTTTTAAGGGTAAACGGCTTGAGATCCCGCGGAATCTGAATCCTCAGGTTGCAGCCATAATCGAGGGTTGTTGGACCAAGTACGTTAAAACTTTCCTTCCTCTTGTTTCTGTTTGAAACCCTCTCCTTTGAATAGCCTTCGAGTTTATGCATATGTTTCATTGGCAGTGAGCCGTGGAAGCGTCCATCATTTGCGACTATAATGGACTTGCTCAGACCATTGATCAAATCAGCGGTTCCTCAACCCAACCGCTCGGATTTGTAAAATCCCGGTCCACTCGAAACTCAATATAATCATGATATGCACATATACTCTCAGCATTCTTTTGCTGCCCAGGAGGGAGACACTAGTTTAGATAGCTTCAAGGTACATTCCTCGTGAGCTATCTTATATAATCCTATACAAACCGCGGTTCTAATACCAGTCTATTCATTTGGATTTTTCGCCTTCGCGTTCTGTTGTTGTTGTTTTCTCTTTTGTCCTATGTTGCAGATTGTTAAAATGTACATGACTATTGTCACAGGGAGGAAAGAAAAAAAAAGTAATTCAAAAGTAGTAATGGAAACAGTGAGGGATATTCTATTATCTACCTCCCAGGGGTAAGCAATATTTTGTTGTCGCCTTTTGTAGTAATGCACTTAAGCTATTTTGTCTGATCCTACATATAATGTTTCTTTTTAATTACCTTGTTGTACATTTAAACTGCTAAATTGGTAACTAAGAGAGTCCAAAAAAAAAAAAAAAAAAAAAGAGAGCGTGTTTAGCCGCTGCCAAGGGTTTTTGCAAACTCAATATGATTCGTTGAATATACATTTGTATTTTATCCACTGGAATTCGCATGAGATTTATTATGGACTTAAACCAGTAACCAACAAGAAAAAAGGAATCGGATTGATTAGAACTCTGTGAATTTAAATTATATTTTCAAAAACAAAAGTGTAAGTGATTTAATAGTTAACAATGGATTCTTCCCAGATCAATGTATGAGACCTCCCAGGGATAAGCAATACTTTGTTGTCGCCTATTGTAGTATCGCACTTCAGCTATTTTGTCTGATCCTACATATAGTATTTTTTTTAATAACCTTGTACATTTAAATCTGATTAATTAGTAACTGAGAGAGTAAAAAAAGAGTTTAATAGCTTGTTTAAGGGTAACAGTTAGAATTGAAGAAGAAAATATCCCAAATTTTTAAAACATGGGGTCTGAAAATATCTACCAAGTCATTTCTGTTGCCTTCGCTTAGAAGTAAGTTTGACCTCCTCCACTCCTGAAAACGACTTTATTAGTATAATTTTTTTTGTTAAAAACTGATTGATTGGTTTGACGTACAGGCGACCAATAGGATGGCGTAAATCAAATTATAGGACTCATACATTATTTAATTATGAAAAAGGAAACACGAGACGCGGATCACAGTGACTGTGAGGGTCCCCGTCCAATTGAAAAGCTGACCTGGCAAACACGCAAAATCACTCCTTGAGTCCCTCTAGATATCTTAGATATCGTGGGACCCACCCCTCAGCACTTTCTCCTTCAGACAATGTGAGAGAGAGACGAAACGAAACAGCGAAGAAACAACCATCAAAGGTCGGCTTAATTTTTTTGTTCTTTCTTATAAAAAAAAAAAAATCAGAAAATAGTCCAAATTTCTTCGATTTTCATCTGCCCGTTACTGAAACCACGAATAATCGATGGAAGATGACGAAGAAGATGAATCCACGGTGGCGGGAATTGACCCACCGCACCGCCTCTCTTTCCCCAGATTTTTTTTCATATCTCACTACAGTTTGTCGGTTGTTACATCCTTCCCTAACCTTTTTATAAACCTTAAATCTCTCATCCTCCCATTAACCCATTTTCTTAAACCCTTGATTATCATCACACCCAATTCCTCACAATTATTATCTCTCTCCCTGAGTCCATAAAAACTTATTTAAAAAAAAAAAAATTCAAATGAGCTCAGACAAAGATGGTGTTTCCAAACCCACTCCGATTTCATTACCCATTTCGACAGGGTCCCTCTACGTGGACACAGACATGGGTTTCTCTATGTCTCCACAGCCGATGCCGCTAGACATCTTGCAGGGGAATCCAATTCCTCCGTTTCTATCCAAGACATTCGATTTGGTGGATGACCCGAGTCTCGACCCGGTCATATCTTGGGGACTGACCGGAGCGAGCTTCGTGGTCTGGGACCCTCTCGAATTCGCCAGAATCATACTCCCTCGGAATTTCAAACACAACAATTTCTCCAGCTTCGTCCGGCAGCTTAACACTTATGTGGGTATCTCTGTAATGTAGACTACTCTGTTTCTCTGCTTTTGTTTTGTTGATTACATTAATTCTGATTAGTGTGATGTATCATCTTTCTTTTTTTACCCTTTTGTTTTTTGTTTCTCTTCCCCTGTGTTTTTCTGTATTTGTAATCTTTTTGATGACCAAAAATACGTATTGTATAGATCCGTGAACTGGTTTTTGATAACTGTAAATACCTGTAATTGTATTTTTTTTTGGGATTTGTGCAATCTTTACCATGTAACAATGAATCTTTTGTATCTATGATATTTTGGCCTTTGTTGTATATTTTACTATCTCCTCATGTAATCTTTGTTGAGATGAGAGATGGTCACATACTCTTGTATAATTGTGGTTTTCTTGTGAATGGAGAATTATGGTTTCCGGATTTTTGTTATTACCTCGCAACGTTAACTTTTGTTTTAAGACATTAGTCAAATGTTCCTCACTCTTAAAGGTTATATAATTTTCTAATTATGATTACACAGACCAAACAAAAACTGGCTTTTGTTTCATTCTACTGGTGTGATCTTGATATGATTGTTGTAGTCTTTAAACTCTTCTTGTTCTTTCTTGAGTTATTTTTGGGGTTTAATTGTGTGTTCAGGGATTTCGAAAGATTGATACTGACAAGTGGGAATTCGCAAACGAGGCTTTCCTTAGAGGCAAGAAGCATCTTCTGAAGAGCATTCATCGTCGTCGATCTCCACAATCCAACCAAGTTTGCAGCAGCAGTAGCAGCCAGAGCCAAGGGTCACCTACTGAGGTTGGAGGAGAGATCGAGAAACTGAGGAAAGAGCGGCGTGCATTGATGGAGGAAATGGTTGAGCTTCAGCAGCAACACAGAGGCACGGCTCGTGAAATGGACACTGTGAACCAGAGGCTGAAAGCTGCAGAGCAACGGCAGAAGCAAATGCTCTCTTTCTTGGCCAAGTTGTTTCAGAACCAGGGTTTCTTGCAGCGCCTTAAGAACCTCAAAGGAGGAGGAGGAGGAGGAGGAGGAGCTCTTGGATCTGAAAAGGCGAGAAGGAAGTTCATCAAGCACCAAGATTCTCCAACAGGAGGTGAGATTGTGAAGTATGAAGCTGATGACTGGGAGAGACTGTTAATATCTGACGAAGAGATTGAGAACACTCCACTCTCGAGCCAAGGAGGAACCGATCCGAAAGGCAAGAACTTGATGAATCCATCAGAAGAAGAGATGATGAATCCAGATGACTTAATGTCATTCCCGTCTCATGCAGAAGTAGATGGTATTATCAAACAAGAAGAGACATGGAGTATGGGTATCGATACTACAATGCCGAGTTTCAGCAACAACGATGTGTGGGGAAACACGATGGACTATAATGTCTCAGAGTTTGGTTCTGTTGCAGAAACAACAACTACAACTGATGGTCTGCCTGATGTCTGTTGGGAACAATTTGCTGCAGATTTCAATTGGCCAAGTGGTGATGATCTTTAAAGAGCTTCCATATAGTTTAGACCAAATAACCCGTCTATTATCGGGTGAACCACTATTAATTTGATTATTCATTTTGAATGCTTCTTTATACATCTACATATATCATAAATAATGAGTTTGATTGTGTCCTTCTTATTCAGAATCCAGGTCTCTCCGCTTTGATTTTAGTGGATATTAACACAATATTACGATCCTTTTATTCATTGTTTTTATCTGCTGGAGTAATAATATGTTGCAGGTTCTAAGTGGAACGTTGTTTCTCTGAGGAGTGGTGGTTTATCACCGTATTTTCCATGGAAATGAAATCTCCATGTTCCAGGTTTTGTTTACTTCTTTTTCTTGTTTAAAAACACACACTTTGTAGTTTTGGATTATTCATATTTGGTACCTGACATTTATTTTACAATTTTTTAAATAGTAATAATTGACAAATATAGATGGGGATGGTTAAGGCTTGTTGTGGCTTTGAGTGTAGATGTAGTCCAAGTGAGATTCAGTGATCATCCTTCTCTTCATACACTCTTCATCGCTCTCCTCACACTTCTCTTCTCCCATCAGCTTACATAAACAGCAATTCAGGGGAAAATAAAAGCAAAATTTTAAAATAAGAAGTAAGAAGTAAGAAAAAAATTTGGTCAAATAAAAAAAGAAATAAGAAAAATTGGATTGAAAAACATAAGATGGGTAAAAGTGTTTATTACATGCGATAATTCTTGGGCAACCTCGGAGGCCTTATCTGCTTGTGTAGCCCAAGCCCAATTATTATTCTTGTTTCTTTCATCTTTTACAAAAAAATATGTGAAAATTGGTGAGAGAGAAATAGAATTCAACAAGAAGAGCATATAAAATCAATGAATTATTACTATCTCTCTTTTCTTTTTTCAATCATTGACGATTAGTGAATTACATAACCAAAAAAAAAAACGATTCTACTTACCATGTGCATTCTAATATTATAAAGAAAGTTGTGATCCTCACTTAAAATAGAACAATAGCTCTCATCGTAATTTCCGTAATCAAGTTTTGCCAAAACCTTACTTTACTACAAATCCGAGTATGAAGTATAGACATGCATGATGGATGCTATGGAATGCAGAGAGTACCTTCTTTATCCACTTGCAAAGGACGTTGAGCTGTACTAAGCTCAGATAACTGAAGAAGAAGAACAACAAAAAGGACGAACATAATCCCAAGTTTCTTCTCCATGTTTTTTTTTTGGTTTGAGAGAGAGAGAGAGAGAGAGAGAGAGAGAGATTATGAGGAACACAGCACGAGGAAGAAGAAGTATAGCACCTTTATTAAAAAAAAAAAAAGAAGTATAACAACAAGTCAAAAGTTTTAATAGACGTGTAGATCTCTCACATGCTCGTTACAAATACGTTAATCACGCCCGTCTCTAATGTATGTGTGTGGATCCCACTTTACAAAAACCCTTCATTTAGCGAGAATGAGTCAGTAACTTCATCAACCCGACAAAAAAACTAGACGACAACCTCTTATTTATAGTCCTTTTATACTGACTTTGTATCAACCTTTACATTTGTACATAGGAGTATTTTATTATTCAAATCTAGTTATGAGTTTTCTCCTGTATTTTACCGATAAAAGTTCTTATTAACTTCGATCTATAAGATGAAACAACTAGACAACATTACAACTATATTCAGTTATTATTTACTTAAATATAAGTTGTAAATTATCATCCTCTAAAGAAATGTTTTTGAGTATGCTAATTATAAACATTATGTTCGTAGCTAGCTCTGCTTTTAACATAATTGTTCTCTAGTTGACACAACTCAATGGCGATATTCCACCCCCACAAGAAAAGAAAAAGATTCTTCCTTGTTGATTGTGTAATGTAATGACAAATGCAAAACATATACTATTTAAAATGAAGAACCTAAAGGTTGTGTAAAATAATGCTATTTAGGAATATGGATCTATCTTTGACAAAACCAATTTTGCGTGACAAAGAATATAGAAAGACAAGGGATGATCACGAGCCTAATTTGGTTCTTGGATGGGAGTCATTATCGTATACTATTTTTGCAGTAAATCGACAAATCGAGAAATTCATAAAAGCGTTAAGGTTTACATATCATTTTTGTGTTAGAATAGAACTGTACTGTGTCCATTCATTATATCAATTGAGATAAAAGGGAGACAAGAACAGAGACCCTCACGACTTTCCTTTGATTTTGGTGGTAGTCCTTATCATTAATGCTTTAATAATTTGTATGCACTTTTTGTAAATTTTGCCTAATCTGGTTTTTAAAATTTGCGCTTCAGATTAATTACTCATCTTTTATCATATAAAACACAAGCAGTCAGTAGAGTAAAACCCTTTAAATCTTTTTTCCTCTGATTCATAATACCTCATTGTTGTTATTTGTTTTCATATTAACGATTTAGTTTTTTCAATAAATAAATTAGTTTTGTAGTTTCATGTAAAGATAGTTGTCTTTAAATTATAACGTCTAAAATAAAATACTAAAATGTTGATATGGCCGAGTTGGTCTAAGGCGCCAGATTAAGGTTCTGGTCCGAAAGGGCGTGGGTTCAAATCCCACTGTCAACATTTCTTTTTTTTTTACATCATCAACATATCTGGGCTTTTAGTTTCGGCCCATAATACATCTGGTTGCAGTGAGTCCAGCGGACCATAATTGTAGCCGTTACGTTTTCGAATCCACTGTCAACATTATTTTTTTTTACATCATCAACATATCTGGGCTTTAAGTTTCGGCCCATAGTACATCTGGTTGCAGTGAATCCAGCGGGCCATAATCGTAGCCGTTACGTTTTCGAAGCTCTCTCACTCAACTGGGTTACTATTCTACCCTCAATTTGAAATATAACTGTTTTTTTGTGTCAAATTTGAAATATAGCTGTTAGATGTAAAATTTAAATGAGTGTATGTGTATGTGGAAGGAACCCGAGGAGATTTTTTCCCATAAGGGACAAAATGAAAAATAAAACAAAAATACACATGCATGCTTATTTTGTAAGATTAAAAAAAGTGAGTGGGGTTTGTTAGTGTGATACAGTCATGGGGACAGTCATATTAAATCAGGTAATAAACCTTATTTGACTTTGCAAAATATAGTTTAGAAGTCTAATTCCGCAAGAGATTAAATGAAAGACATTTAATCGTGGCTATACGAATTCTCGTCCGTCCCAACGGAAGGAAAGGAACAAAAGGGTTGTTGTATGGTTGAACTTAAATGATGTCAACACCTACAGATAGTAAATAAATAAAAACTTTGACAAAAAAATATTTATTTCAAATAAATAGAGAAAGTAAGTCAAAATCCCGAACTGCTGAGACTTTCGATGTGTTTGTTATGCATTCATTCATATCCTCCCGCCAATTAGTCAACTCCTCACATTTAATGAACCTTTTATAAAGTCAATCCATGTGACTTGATAATAAACCACCCATCATTGTGATATACATAATTTTGAACTTTTCTTGGATATCATGAATGCAAAGGATTATACTAAATTACTAACGTCCATAAAGATATTTTGTATTTATATAACAGATGATATTTGGATATTGTTTTTACTTAATATAATGTAATTTGATTTGGTATATACATGCGAAACGTAACAAGCAGTTTCAAGTAAAGATATACACCATGCACCTCTGTATCATATACATGGTCCCTTAAGTTTTTGGAGGCGTAAATAAGATTGCAACTTGCAACTAGAGAGATTCAATGACTGACAGGTAAATTGACAGAAACAAATGAAGAGCTTGAGTCTTTTGACCATTTAGATTTGGTGTGACTTTTGTCTTACGACGTTCTATTCGTATAACTCCAAATCATTTGTTTAACATATAATCTTCTAGATTTTACTCTGTAACGATTACGGAAATTTGTGTCTTTTAAGCAATGTTTTGAAATTCGATTCGGACCAGCCGATTTGCTCGGTTAAACCGGGACCCAGTCACTTATCCAGGTCGATTTCATTTTTAAAATCCGAAATTTATTAATTTGGCAAAATCCAGAAAAACCTGCGAGTAACCCGTGATCCAGTGATTCGTTGACCCGGTTAAACCAGTAATTTTAATTTTTTTATAAATATTTTTTAATATAAATAATCTCTAATTAAATTATAGAATATTATTATTTTATGACTTTTGTTGAGTTTTAAAATTTGTAATTTGTATCAGCATTGAATTTTTTTGACCTGTTTATACTATGTTTTGAACAATTTATGTTATATTTTTTATATTTAATAATTTGAACAGTTTATGTTTTTTTATATTTAAATCTATTTTCTTAATTTTAAAACTATATAATATATATATATATATTATATAAAATTTAATTAAATAGTTAATCCGCGGTTGACCTAGATCAACCAGATAAACCCAAAAATCCAGTAACCTGATAAACATTCCGGTTTGCTTTTCGGGTCAGGTTTCAAAACATTGCTTTTAATCTTTTGGACCGAATAAGTGGTTCATACATGATACACATACATACATACTGAAACTGACACATGCTTAGTGCGTGCACTAATTTGTCTTTACTTCATATTTTATGTAAAATTATTTGGTTTGAGCGCATTATACAACTGGTCCATTTGCGCCTAGCGAGTAAATGGTTAATGGTTGCTATGATAAGAATTTATCCCACCAGAAAACCATATCTTTATGAAATCGCGACTTCAAATATTTAATTCTCGTCCCACGACATCGACGCCGTTTAATATTGCTTTTTTTCTATAATTAAACTAACATATTCTATTATCTGCTGCGGACATATTTTGATAATTGTATATACCCCATCTGCTTCTATATATATATATATATAAATTCCAATGTTATTATGCAATCAATGGACTCTCTCTGCATGAGGATCAATACACATCACAATCTCTTTCCATTTCCGTGAGTGTTAAAACTTCTCTCTTCTTTCTCTCTTTCATTTCCAAAAATGGAAGGTTTGTGTTTAAGCTCCGTGACTCGTTGTTTCCTCTTGTTATTCGTTTTCTTCGTTTGTTCTCATAAATGGCATCGAGTCAACGCGAGCGAACCGGTACTTGAGCTACTTAAAGGCTACGAAGCTAAACCGGACTCATCGGTCGACTTGTTCCAGCCTCTCCTCACTGACCCGACTGGAAACTTTTCATTCGGGTTCTTAAGGGTAAACAGGACACTACTCACACTCGCCGTAACCCACCCGAACTTGACGGATCCTCTTTGGGTTTTCGACCCGACCCGTTCAGCCAGCTGGTCTCACAAGACGAAACTCATATTCAACGGCAGCCTCGTAATCTCCGATCCTTCTTCGAGGGTAGAATGGTCAACTTATACTAACGGAGACCGTCTCGTCCTCCGTAACGACTCGAATCTCCAGGTGGTGAGATCGTCGTCGTCGTCCGTCGAGTGGGAGAGTTTCGATTTTCCCAGAAACACCCTCGTAGAAAACCAGAATTTCACATCTGCCATGGCTTTGGTTTCGTCCAATGGTTTGTATTCCATGCGTTTAGGCAGAGATTTCATCGGATTATACGCGAAAGTCAGCAAAGATTCTCAGCAGTTTTACTGGAAACACAGTGCTCTCCAAGCCAAAGCAAAAGTCAAAGACGGGTCGGGTCCGATTCTCGCCCGGATAAACCCGAATGGATATCTCGGTATGTACCAAATCGGAAACATTCCAATCGACGTCGAAGCGTTCAACAGTTTTCAAAGACCCGTCAACGGTCTTCTGATTCTCCGATTAGAAACCGACGGGAATCTCCGGGGATATCTCTGGGACGGATCTCAATGGGCACTGAACTACGAAGCCATCCGCGAAACTTGCGATCTGCCAAACCCGTGCGGTCCTTACGGTCTATGCACGCCTGGATCGGGATGCTCCTGCCTCGATAACAGCACGGCGGTGATCGGAGAGTGCAATCACGCCGCTGCTTCGAGAAAGACGGACTTTTGCGGCGGCGATATAACGGCGGGGTTTAAAGTGTTGAGACGTGGAGGTGTTGAAGTGCCGTTTAAGGAACTGATGGAACACAAAACGACGTCGTCTTTGGGAGAGTGTGAGGAGATGTGTGTGGAGGATTGTAAGTGTTTCGGGTCGGTTTATAATAACGGGTCCGGGTTTTGTTATTTGGTTAATTACCCGATCCAGACGATGCTGGGCGTTGCGGATGCGAGTAAAGTGGGTTACTTTAAGCTACGTGAGGGTGTAGGAAAGAAAAAAAGCAGAGTGGGGTTAACGGTTGGGATGTCTGTCCTTGCTGTGATTGCGTTGGTTCTAACGGTGGCGATGGTTTACGTGGCGTTTAAGATTTGGAGTAGAGATAAACGGGTACTTGAGGAAGATGGTGGGTTATCACCCGGCCCGTATAAAAATCTCGGGTCGGATAGTTTTAGATCCGTTGAAATGAGCCGTAGGTGATAGCTTTTTTGTAATCTTTTTTTTTTTTGAGGTATTTATTTACACATATATAAAGTTAACTTCTCTTTTTTCTTCTGCTTTTTGCAATTTGACCACTTTGAAGATCATCTTGTTGATGAACTTTTCACCTAACAAAACAAAATTAATTATTACGAAGATTATATAAATTATGAATTCGGTTAGAAATAAAAACGGTAGGTAGGCCTGGATACAGAGCGGATATCCAGAATTTTAGTGATATCCGTAATCCGCTCTGCCTCGTTCGGATCAATAATTTTTTGATCCGTATTTGCTTTGTTACTAATTGCATATTTGGTATTCGGATATCCGTTAAAATCCAGATTTTTGATCGGATATCCGATCCGTTTCAAAATTATTAAATTAATTATAAAATAATTAAAATATTTATAAAATAATTAAAAATATTTATAAAAATAACTAAAAAGTCAAAAACGAACTCATAGATTAAATTTTAAATTGTTTTTTAAAATTTATTAAATTTTCGTATTAAAATAACTAATAAAATAAATATAAATTTACAAAAATTTATATATAATTATATTAATTATATATTCTATATGTAATTATTTATATATACATATATATATGTATATCGGAGCGGATCGAATATCCGGCTCTTAAAATTTTAATATTTGTGAATTGCTATATTTTTAACGGATATCAAAATTTAGTATTTGCTTTGCTCCGTAAAGCTACGAATATTCGGATTTTTCGAATCGAATCAAAGCAAATAGCGGATCGAATCAAATCTAACGGATAATTTGCCCAGCCCTAACGGTAGATACTATTGATTGAAAAACTGTTTGGATAAATCTGTGATGGCGTAGGCCGGAAAAAAAATATATAAATATGTAAATAGCGTCATGGATGACGCCAACAAGTGTGGATGGTGGACTCGCTACTCCTTAAGGCCCACATGTTTGAGATTTCCACTATCCTACTTATTATAATTTCATACATCTAATTCAATACTATTACATTTAATATCCGCCGGAAAATAATATTACGTTTAATATTCTGATCAGCATGCAGTGACTAAGTTCACGTGCTTCACGGCCGCAACCACCAGAATTTATCCGAGTTTTCCATAATACTCTTTTGTCGACAATATTATTTGTATTTTATCATATTTATAGTTGTTAAAACAAAAAGGAAATATTTTGGTCTATCCCCAGAACCGTTGTCAGCTTAAAATACACAATTATCTAAAATTCTATATTTATGATAAAGTCTCTTGTAACTTATATACAACGTCTTATTTTTCATGTACACAGTACACTAATTCCACTGCAATATTGGACGGAGTTTTCTCTCTCTCACAATCCAACTTTTACAATATTTGGTATAAATTCGCAAGAAGAGCACTTAAAATAGAGTTGCAACTTTCAGATAAAGACTTTAACTGGTGATCATAAAAGTAACAATAAAAATAAATAGGAAAATGAATGAAAGGAACAAAATAATAGGAATTATTGTTATTTGTCATTTTTTATAGAAAATATATTAACATTATAGTTCCCTAAAACATAAGGAATGAGAAGGAATCATAGGTATAATATATTTTTTAAAAATGGTGTAATTTTTAAGGAATGATAAGAAATTTAGTATTCATTTTCATTCCTTATGATCACTAGTTACACCCAAAATGTAGCAAAGAAAATATGATGTTACGAAAATAGATGAAACTTTCCGCAGCGTCACAGGCTAAGCGACAATTTCTACGGGCCTCTCATAAAACTCCATTTTCCACGCCGTATCCATCTCCAACGCGGCCTTTTACTATATAAAGCCCAAAAGGCCCATTCTCCTCCTCAATTAATCGAACTCATCTCACAATCGGAACGATCTTCTCCGTCGCCGTCGCCGCAGCCTCTTTTGTACACAATGTCGTGCTTCAAATCCAAATTCGCCGGTAAATCTTACCACCACCTCACTGTTCATCCTTAGATTTCCCGGTATCACCGTTATATAGTCTTTAGTCTTTAGATCCTCTAATTCGTTTTGCATTGTACTTACGATCGCGATTTTGGAAGAAGCGTTACTTGAATTGATTCTCTGCGTGTCTCATCGATACTGAATCTCTGTCAAAAATTCGTCTCTTCGGTTACCTGAATTTCGAATTTGTTTCCGATCTCCGCAGATGAGCTTATCGCCAATGCCGCTTACATCGGTACTCCAGGGAAAGGTATTCTCGCCGCCGATGAATCAACAGGGACAATCGGAAAACGTTTCGCAAGCATTAACGTCGAGAACGTCGAATCAAACAGACGTGCTCTCCGTGAGCTCTTGTTCACCACTCCCGGAGCTCTCCAATACATCAGTGGTATCATCCTCTTCGAGGAAACACTCTACCAGAAAACAGCTTCTGGTAAATCGCAAAACCCGATTTTCTAGTGCTTTCTCGTGGTCTGATATGTAGAAGAATCTGTGAAGTTATTGGTTTTGATTGGTATATATCTATCGTAGTTAGGTTGATTTAGTCTCAAAGTCCAATTTTCTAAACTCTAATGATCATTGATGTTCTTGATTTACTGCTACAGGGAAACCATTTGTTGATGTAATGAAGGAAGCTAAAGTCCTTCCAGGTATCAAAGTGGATAAAGGAACCGTCGAGCTCGCTGGTACCAACGGCGAAACCACAACCATTGGCCTCGATGGACTCGGAGACCGCTGCAAGAAATACTACGAGGCAGGTGCACGTTTCGCCAAATGGCGCGCCGTTCTCAAAATCGGAGCCAACGAGCCTTCCGAGTTAGCCATCCACGAGAACGCTTACGGTCTGGCGAGATACGCTGTTATTTGCCAAGAGAACGGTCTCGTCCCCATTGTCGAACCAGAGATCCTCGTTGATGGATCTCACGACATTGAGAAATGTGCTTACGTCACGGAACGAGTCCTCGCAGCTTGTTACAAGGCTCTTAGTGATCACCATGTGATCTTAGAAGGAACACTCTTGAAACCGAACATGGTGACTCCGGGTTCCGACTGTAGCTCCAGGGCTAAACCAGATGTGATCGCCGAGCACACAGTCCGTGCTTTACAACGGACCGTCCCTGCCGCGGTTCCAGCCGTTGTGTTCTTGTCTGGAGGACAGAGCGAGGAAGAAGCGACTGTGAATTTAAACGCCATTAACCAGCTCAAAGGGAAGAAACCATGGAGCTTGACGTTTTCGTACGGACGTGCGCTTCAGCAGAGTACGCTCAAGGCTTGGGGAGGTAAGGAAGAGAATGTTGAAAAGGCTCAAAAGGCCTTCTTGGCTCGAGCCAAGGCTAACTCTGAGGCAACTATTGGTGGCTACAAGGGTGATGCTCAGCTCGGTGAAGGTGCTTCTGAGAGCCTCCACGTCAAAGACTACAAATACTAAAAGGTCACTTGGGAATTTCATTATTTTTTGGAGATGTGGTTTATTTTTGTGATATATTATAATATTGTGATTGTGTAATTATTTGTTTTTAGCCTGGTGGGACATATAAGATCTTTTTTTTTCTTTCATTATTTGATGATGGTTGAATTCTTCTCTTGGGGAAATTTTGTTGTAATAAAAATGACATGCTTTGTAAAGTTAATTACTGAAAAAGGATGTATAAGTACATACTTACATCTAATAAAACATGTTTTTCGTTATGTTCTGTTACTTCTTTGAGTTTTTTCATCCCTGGTTATTAAGTTTTTAACGAAAATTTCTATAAAGAAAATAGCAAAGGCCAAAAAAAAGCCAAGATTGTTTGTATGTAAAATTATGTATCCTCTGATTGTTTTATATTTACGTTTGTTGCTTTGATTTATCCCGTAATTATGGTTTTGCCTTCTGGTTGTTCTATTTTTATAGTTTTGCCATCTGATTGGTAAATAATTTTGGTTTTACCCTCGGACTATTTTATATTGTTTATTTGCCCTCGTTTTGTTTCGTAGTTATGATTCTACCCTCTATGTATTTCATTATTGGGATTTTGTCCTCATTTTATTCTGTATTTATGACTTATCCCCCTTACTGTTCTATTGTTGCGTCTTTGCCCTCGGATTGTTTCGTAATTATGGTTTTGCCCTCCATATTATGTATTTTGTGTAGCTCCACCACATTCCACAGACGTAAATGTCTGAAGTTTATACCTTGACGTAATGACCCCCTTTTTTTTTCTTTTATAATTTATTCCGTCATATATTATTTATCTTGGAAAACTGTATAAAAAACACTTAAAACAGATCCAGAGAAAGATAAAATTTGAAAGTGTTGATGAGCGGAATATTAAAATAAGAAATTCAAATAATGAGGTGATGATGTGTCTAGTCGTAGGGTGGACAGAATAGAGAGACAATGGCAGTGACTGAACGTAAAATAGGGTCATGAAAACAGTTTTAATTGTTTAGTGATGGATAATGTTAGCAGAAGTCTTACTCTAACTTCAGTCGTCTTGTTCACTACAAGTCTACAATCCCCTTTTTAGTCTTACCTTTTTTCCCTAATCGTGTATATATATTTTAGACCAAAGAATTTTCAATAATGCAAAAATTGCACTTTTTCCCTTTGATGCTATAACCTATCAAAATTTAAATTAGTCGAAGGAATTGGTGTTAATCAAACTAGGAAATATCTTAAGCTAGTGTTTTGAAGAGTAAGTAAACAATGAACTACGTACTGAAAATTATTGTGTGACGTGTTGTCTAAACTTCCACAAAATATATGACCCAGCAGCATTAATGAAACAAAATGAGCAAGAATGCAAGATCCTTCCTAATTCAAATATCAACATCTATATCCAAATTAAACAGTTTATAAAGTTTTGACAAGAAGAATCATCAAGCTCTATAAGTAGGACTGGCCTTGTGTGGAACCCATAAAATGAACAAGCACTTAAATGAGAATAGAGACAATTCAGAATTAATCAACATTATCAATAATGTGAACGTATGAAGGATTGTATTGACTCGTGCTCGTGTCTCACTGTCGCTATAGGGAATAGGGACAAAAGGAGAAGAGTGAGATCATGGAGAGAGAGATAAAGGCAAATGGTTACTTTCTCTCTGACCATCAACACACTGAATCGACCAGAGCTTACTTCACTACTCTTCCTCTCTGTCTCCATCTTCATAACTCCCCTCCTCTCTCTCTCTCTCTCTCTCTAGATTTACCCCAAATTTACATCTCTAGCCTTCTATGTATGTTTTCTTTGTATCACCATTTATGTACACTCATTAATTAGGTTGACTCCTCTAGACCAAAGCTCAACCAAGTTTCACGATTTACAACAATTAAATTTTAAAACTCGGTAAAAGAAAAAGCATCATAAATCCTTGTTTCTAAGATAGAAGATTTTTAAAATGTATAATTCTATATAAAATACACGCAATAGAAAATGGTTAGCGGCCTCAATACTCTCAATATGTTAAACCAACGGATAAGAACCGTTTGGTTCATATGTTATCGTCTCTCGAATGTATTCAGAATCTTCCTAAGAAAAGCATGGAAGTATGGGCTCTGTCAATTCATTCATATAAGTTATCAAAATCATTATTGATTCAACCCCCCGGAATTTTTGGTTTAATTTGGGGGAAAAATTCTTGATGATATAAGAGAATATTTATTATAGAATAATATATGTGAAGGCCAAGAAGAATTACGCTTAAATGTGAAGTAGTTTTGAGACATGCACGATTTGATTTTATTAGTTATCATATATTCCTATGATATGTCTTGTCTGGCTTTGCGTGTAGCCTTTGGATGTGAAAAAGATGAAAAAATCTTTAAAAATTTGATTTGATGAGATGCGATCTTTGAATTAGCATGGATCTGGTATATTAACAGATATAAATGCTATTGGGATCAAAGTTCAATTACTAGAAAATGATTGATATAAAAGTTTTACAAAATAAATACATGAAAACATAATAATTTAAAGCCTACTTTAATTAGACTTTCATCTTATATATGCTGATATAATTCGTTAAGCCCCAAGAAAATATATCCCTTCATTCTAAGCAAGTAAGCATAGTGTGATATATAATAGTTAAGTCAAGGTTTATCTCATATATATAGTTAACTCAAAAGAATTAGTTAACCACGTGATCACCTTCTTCTTCTTCTTCTTAATTCGTTGGGAGAAGTCACTCACTGGTTCTCTCCTTTACTTAGCCTCAAACCGTAACTCTCCCACAGATTCTGATCTCCATCTCCCAAGAAGAACGGGAAGCAGTTTGTACTGGCCGCCATTGCGCCGCTAGGATTTCCAGCGGTTGTATTTGCGTTTGCGTTCGATGTTGAAGAACCTACGTTGCCATGTTCATTCATCTGATCGTGCTGATTATTATCATTATATCCACTTTCTTGATTGTTATAGATCGGATTTTCTTCAGTTCTTGGATAGTACACGCCGCAGCTCGGCGAATTCTCCTTCCTTTTCTTGTTGATTTGCTGCTTCTTTTCTTTCCTCATTCCATTGCTTATCCATTCCCACTTTTCCTTGCACATCAAGGCACTTCTCTGATCAAACCCTAACTGCATCATTTTGGCCGCAACTTCCCCCCATAGAAATTCATCCGAGCACCCTACCAGAATCTCTTGAAACGCCGACTCCATGCTAGTTCTTATCTCCATAAGCTTTAGGATCTCTTGCTCATTCCAGCAGCTACCACTTCCTTTAACAGAAACATTGTTAGTCATGGTTTGATCGCTTCCATTCTCATTCTGATTCTCACTATTGTTTTGGATCTCATTGTTACCATTAATCCTTTCTTCTGGGGACGAACATAACGGCTTTATCAGCGGCTTTCCGGTCAAATACTGCAATGCCTCAATCACCGCGACATCCCTAGCTTCCATCCTCTCCCTCTCTTTAGCCCAAAACAAATGCTCTTTATCGATCCTCGCAGCCTCAATCTTTCTCCATTCCTCTTCTTTCATCATCCTTTGTTCCTCTTTGTCTTCAATAACCTTTGTCAGCTTCTCAAGCCAAACATCTTGCCTCTCTATCAACCTTTTCATGTTCGCATCAATGAACTCCTTGATCTTCGCTTTCCAACTCCTCTTTTTCCTTCTACTACTAGAATCATTCCCTTCAGAAGACGTCGTCAGCTCCAGCTCGGAGGAGTTGTAGTTGTTAGACAGACTTAGGCTTTGATGATGAAAACCATGAACACTATCAACGTTATGAATATTAGACGTTGTAGTAACGTTCATAGCGTTTTGCGTGTGGAAACCATGAAGAGCATTGCTCATGAACTGTGTGTTATGACTGGGACAGGAAACCACGTTGTTGGAATCGCCGTAGAGCGCCTCGAGTTGCCGGAAAAATCTATAATGTTTACCGTCTTGTCTTCCGGCTTTGCCTTCTTTAGTCTTCCTATAGTATTTGTAAAGATTCTCAAACTTCTCTCTGCATTTCTTCCCACTCCTTTGGTACCCATGCTCCTCAGACATAATCCTAAATGTTAAAACAAAATGAAAAAGAAAGACTACATTAGTATGTTTTTTTTTACTGAAATTTGAAGCAGTGCCCTAATCTTGGAACTAGCTTTGAATCATTGACTGTTCATAAGATACTCATATTCATTATGATCATGCATATATATATATATATATGTATGTATACATAATGACATTGTATAGTGTATTGCTTAGATTAGATAGTGACCCACATAAAGTTTGTTTTGTTTTCTAACATACACTGGTTATGACTTTCGGACCAAGATTGTTTTCGAGTCTTACTAGTGGACTAACAGTTTAACACAAGAACATGTTTCGATGCATAGTTACACAAAAGAAGAGGGTACATATCTTCAGAAGCTAAGAAAGATGAATCAGAAGTTATCAGTAGAAAAGGAGAAAACTAAAATCAAAGTCAAAGCAGATAATAAATCTTTTTGTTTTACTCTTGTTTATGTTGTACCCTTTTGGGTTTTTAAAGCACCTGATAGTGTCTTAACTGAAACTGCCAAGGTCTGGTCATTCTCTTGACCAAAACAAAACGACTCCTAAAGAAATTGTTTGAAACTGACCACTCTGTAGATACACATCAATGTGTGTGTGTACATATCTACGTGGGAATGTAACGTATATATATATATAAATATGCGTGTGTATTGATGAGCTGAAAAAAGTAATTGTTGAAATTGAGGAACCCAAGGGAAGTGTTGAGGTCACATTCCTTCTAGTTATTAATTAATGCAGAAATAAAAAAGATTAAACTTGTCTTCGGGATTTTCACTTGAAAGGTCTAATTTCTAACAAGAAAGCGTATGAAGGGTCAAATCTTTTCAAATCTGAAAGAAAACCCATAAAACAAAATACTCAAAGTTTTTTAAAAAAAAATTTTAAAGAAGATGGAAGCTATTAGTGTTTAGCAACAAATTTTTAATGAATTTCCTCGA